GCTTGCAAGGGAACAACTTGGATTGGCTGGCTAAACCGGGTGGGGGTAGCCGATGGGTCTGAAATCCTAGGTGAATTAGGGACACCCCTGCATGCAAAGACAGGATCCAGAGGGTTGAGCAGGCAAGACCAATAGGGGGTCCAATGGTCATGAAGGCAGTTTCTATATGTACTGTAGAGTGAAGTGAGCGATGGATGGGGCTCATCAACCTGGGAAGGTAGCCCACCTAGGAGAAGGAAAAATCAGATCCTAAACTTCTGCTGCCTTGCAGGATGTCTTTAGAAAGGGTTGAGGAGTAAATCCTTCACAAATCTGGAGTGGCGTCTTGTACACCTCTTTCCAGCAACTCCTGCAGCCAAGCTGGTGCCAAACGTATTGCTCTACTTTCCTTTGGACCCCATCAGTGAGGCTGAGATGGGGGGTCTTGTCACCTGGGCAGCCCAGGACCTCCATACACACCACCCAGGCCTGCCTTTACTCCTGGAGATGCACTCCATCAAGACAGAAGGCTGCCGATAACATATTTGTGAGTGAAGTTGGGAACTGCATTGCTTAGCAGTGCAAGACGTGTGTGATAACACAAGTAAATTAAAAAGACTAAGCTGCGGACACTTTTCCTGCAGAATGAAGAGGAAGAGAAGAGGCATTCAGCCTGCCCTCTTGCTCCCCACCCCGCTCTCCCCAAGGCTTTGAAAATATAAGGGGCGGGGGACCACTGCATGGTCATTCAGACATCGCTGATTCAGAGGGACAACATGAAGCTCTCTCCCCTTGAGGAAGATGAGTCACATGGTGGGGGGGGGAGTGGATTGGATTGGGACATCACAGCTTCACGCTTAGTAGCAGAAATAAGCTATACCTTAGAAGGGACCCTTTCACTATGTAGCCCTGCCACATAGACAGGTTTGGACCATATTTTCAAGCTTTCTGGAGTCTTTTTATCTGACCCACAGCTAATTTAAACTGCCACCCTACTGCTTTCATCCTCCCCACCTTCAATCCATGCCCAGTATTAGGAGATGCACAAATAGTACAATAATTAGAAAATGCAAATCGGTATTAGAATCTGCACACTGACTGCCGTTTGCATTTAAAGTACATGTGCAAGCTCTGCGTGCCAGTACTAAGCCAACGTTATATTTCAGTTCATGCTTGCCCATCATTACTTATCTCGTCCTGCAAATATGCAGCCACAGGATGAGTTCTAGGTCTCGTACTCAGTTCACACAGAGCTTAATCCTGAAGAAGAGAAATGTTATGTAATTGTGTCCCTAAGTCTTGAGTCTGGGAGGCAAGAAGGCAGCTGGTTTAGTGGAGGCAGCTGGGTGGTGGTGGGGAGATCTACTTGGTGACAACGGTGAAGCTAAGAAGGTTAGTTTGGCTGGTTTGCTTGCCATTCCCTCGCATGGTGCAGGATACAATCCATGCTGTGCCAGCCCTGATGCTCTCTTTCAGTATGTTTTTACTCTTGATCATTATTATATGCAGCTGCTGAAACGGGTGGATCTTTGTGCAATCTTAATTCTCTGCAGATTGGACGCAAAGTAATGCACTATAATTTTGCTGCCTGCTTCTTCAGGATCTTCCTATCTTATCATGTTTTCCACTCTGCCACTTCAAATCCACCTTACCTTGGGAGTAAGGCAACAACACTTGCAATCAGTTACCTGAAGCAGAGGATGCAGAAGGGGGCTAGATAGAGAGGCAACCGATTCCTTTTCTTTTAGTAAGTACTTCTTGACACAGTAAGGGACACGGGTGGCGCTGTGGGTTAAACCACAGAGCCTAGGACTTGCCGATCAGAAGGTCAGCAGTTCGAATCCCCTCGACGGGGTGAGCTTCTGTTGCTCGGTCCCTGCTCCTGCCAACCTAGCAGTTCGAAAGCATGTCAAAGTGCAAGTAGATAAATAGGTACCACTCTGGCGGGAAGGTAAACGGCGTTTCCGTGCGCTGCTCTGGTTCACAAGAAGTGGTTTAGTCATGCTGGCCACATGACCCGGAAGCTGTACGCCGGCTCCCTTGGCCAATAAAGCGAGATGAGCGCCGCAACCCCAGAGTCGGTCACGACTGGACCTAATGGTCAGTGGTCCCTTTACCTTTACTCTTGGCACAGTAGATCCTTTCAGGCTTTACTTCCTTCCTGCTTCGTCTCCAGGTTCAGTCAGTATGAGTTAGCACAGTGATTCTCAAAGGGTGTGGCGTGCCACAGTGGCATGGCAGGAGAGGATGGCACGTGTGGGGGGAAGATTCAAGGACAATCAAAGAACCATAAGCATTTCGATGTAGTATAGTATCCAAATAATTTTTATGAATGAGATTACCGGGCAAAAACACACCTCTCATTGAGTTTACATACTGAAGGTACACATGTAAGAGGCTCATTTATCATTATATTTTAAGGAATGATTCATGTTCTCATTGCTTTATATTTTCTGGCCATATTATAAGCAGTATTTCTTATCAATAAAAAAATTGTGCAGCGTGAGCAAATTTTTATTCTGAAAGTGTGGCCCAGAGAGAACAGTTTGAGAGCCACCATGTTAGGATGTGCTTGTGTTTACTTCTTGGTTCCATCTTGGCCACATGTAAAATCTTTACTTAAAATGGCTTTGTTTGCTGTGACTAATAAGTCTTAAGCTTTCTCCCAAACAGCAGTCTTTCCAGGCTGATTCTTTCTGCATATATGCAAAAAGATATATATCTCTTTTGGTACAAGATATGTATCAAAGCCCAACAAAGGTAAAATCTTCTCTAGGTAAGCTGAGGTGAGGGGATGAAAAAGTGTGGAAAGGGGTGGCAAGAAACCAGTAATGCTTTTGGGGAGGGGTTGAAGAGGAGGCAATTGGAAGGAGAGCCTAGTGGTACTGAACCTTTGTCTTCCAGAGCAGTTAATTGATGGAAATATCAGGCTTGGCATCATCCCTCCTAATGTTGGAAAAGCCATAAAAATGGGGGGGGGGTGAGGTCGGTAAGGAGAGAAAGTGGGACGCCTGGGAGCAATGTGGGCTAGAGAAGGAATAAGGATTTTGCAGCGGGAAGAAACAATCACATCAAAGTACTGGAGACAGAAATATCCAAAATTCATTGTGAGGATGAGCTCCAACTGAATATCTCCATACTGAATGACTGAGAAACAAGATGACAGATGAAATCCAGCAAATTAAAGCATGCTGGGACAAATAATGCCAACTATACACATGTTTGCTGATGGGTTCTGAGCTGGCTTTTACAATTTAGGAAATAAATCCTGAGGTCAAATCAGAAAACTCACTGAAAATGTCAAGTTGGTGTTCGGCGGCACTGAAAAAGGCCGTGTTTGGGATTATTAAGAAGGGGACTGGATATAAAAAGCAAACACGATAAGACTATATTATATAAGGCCACAGTGCTTCCATATTTAGAATATTCTGTTGTCCTGTTTCCATCAGGATGGTGGTTGGTGGAGAGTCATTTACCTTATCGGCAAGAGTCTAAGAAGTTGATGCTGTACAGCTTAAGGATAAATGATGACTACAGAGAGACACAATTAAGTTTAAAACAGTCACACAACAGTATATTAATACATGAATAGCCAGTATACTGTAAATATACAGAATAAGTGAGATAAGAGGTTTTTTCAACAGAGGGTCGGTGTCACCATATGTATGTAAACTTCCCTGTTGCAATTAACTGATCCATAGTCACAACTGTTGAGCTGCAGAAGACGCTGGTGAACGAGTGCATGGCTGATCTAGTCTGATATCAAAAAATGCTTCTTGAGCAAGTAGCCTTCTCATAGTTCTTCCAGCTGCCATTGGTTTAGCTGCTATGAAGTCACAGAGCACCTTGGCAGCGTAGGGGATGTTAGCTTTGTATTTGTTTTGGCAAGCCTACCAAGACATTTCATTTACCTGCTTATACATTTTTTTAAAAAAATCTGTTCATGTTCTTAAAGGTAAAGGGACCCCTGACAGTTAAGTCCAGTCACAGACGACTCTGGGGTTGCGGCGCTCATCTTGATTTAGTGGCCGAGGGAGCTGGCGTTTGTCCACAGACAGTTTTTCCGGGTCATGTGGCCAGCATGATTAAGCTGCTTCTGGCAAAACCAGAACAGCGCACGGAAACACCGTTTACCTTCCCGCCGGAAGTTCGTGCTTTCGAACTGCTAGGTGGGCAGGAGCAGGGACCGAGCAACGGGCGCTCACCCTGTCGTGGGGATTCGAACCGCCGACCTTCTGATCGGCAAGCCCTAGGCTCAGTGGTTTGTTGATCATTGTTATATATTGCATACAAGTACACCACTTAGGGGATTATTTGATTAAGCAGTTCATTAATTTTTCTTCATAAAATTGGGGGGGGGATGAAACTCCAAGATTTGTGAGCAATTCTAACTAATATGTATAATGTTTGCCTGCACACACCTAGGAATTTTGAATGGCATCGTTGGTGAGGATCAGCTGAACATATCTGAAGCCTTTCACTTTCTGTATCTGTCTATGACGTTAATAATCATTTAGGAGAACATTACAAGAAGATAATCCAAACATGACTCTTACATTCGGCATGTGCGTCTTGGACCTGGAGCTGTGGCAGAAGTGCATGCTGAGATATGGAACAAAGGAGAAAAAGAACAAAGCAAGGCATTGAAAAACAACAACCCAATGAAGGCAATAGCAATCTAGCATAGAAAGGCGCATTTGCCTTTCTTCCAGATGAAATATTTCCACCCTGATTTGGTTGCACAGAAGCTGCATGATGTTGGCAATTTTTTCCAGTATTCATTCTGATCGGTTTGCACAGAGGCTATACAATTTCAAGCCAAGCAATTGTTACCCTATACATTCCAGTGCATCACATTCCAGTGCGTCACTTTCCTTCCTGCAAAAAGTCCAGATTTTTAAAAAGAGGATTTTTTTGCACAAAGGCCCAAATCCACTTTAACTGGGATTTAACTTAAATTTGCTGGTGTGCCAATGAATCCCACCTGCAAAACAGTGACAGCCTACAGGCGCCCTCTTGTCTCAAGCATGGTAGTAATCATTTGTCAGGTCCCTGTAAGAGAAAAAATAAATAGTTCCCTGAGATTTACACCAGGATATAGCAGAAAAAAACATAGCATGCTGTTAAGACTGGGAAAATGGGGAGGCACATTTGTTTGAGATTTCATGTGGCTAAATGCACTTGGTTTTGCAATGTGAGGTGCACAATTTGTACAATGCAGTTCAAAAAAGAGTAAAAGTGAATTGCTGAAGAGTAGTTGATCACCTAGCCTCTGATGGAAGTGCCTTGCATTGTCTTCTATTTGTATATGGACCCAAGTGACTAAAGGCTTGTCCACAACGGAGTTCACTGTGTTTTTGCAGCTGTTTGCCTTCCCATTTAATCTGCGTAGCTCACATAATCTTACTCTGAAATAACACCAGATTTGATGCTTGCCCCTTGTAAATTCAGATTTCTCTTATATATGGATAATCTGATAAATTGGGGGAAATTGGGCTCTAAACCACTCCAACTGGGGTCACAGACAATTTTGTTTTGGTGTTTTGGTGTGGGTGGATCACTTGCCACTTTCTGCTGCTCCCCTTTCCATGTGCACTACTTTTCTCAATGCTTTCATTTCTTTTCTGAGCATGCTTGTAACTATTTGCAGCACTCTTCTGAACTACAGTGGTGCCCCGCAAGACGAATGCCTCGCAAGACGAAAAACCCGCTAGACGAAAGGGTTTTCCGTTTTTCGATGCGCTTCGCAAGACGAATTTCCCTATGGGCTTGCTTCGCAAGACGAAAACGTCTTGCAAGTCTTGCAATTTTTTCCGCTCCCCCCCCTTTTTCTAAGCCGCTAAGCCGCTAATAGCCTTTTAGCCGCTAAGCCGCTAAACCTTTAATAGCCACTAAACCACTAATAGCGCTAATCCGCTAAGCTGCTAATAGGGTTGCTTCGCAAGACAAAAAAACCGCTAGACGAACGGATTAATTTCGTCTTGCGAGGCACCACTGTATATTCTCCCCCCTTTGACCCTCCAGATTTGCACAAAACCAGAAAAATGCGTAAGCAAACCACATAAAAAAATTCTACACTAGATATTGCAAATTAATCTGAAGTGTGCTGAAAATCTACAATTGCTTCCATTTCTTTTATGGCTGTGTTCCCAACTATTTCCAGCACTCCTGAAAGGAGGAGCACATGGGGATAGAAGGGGTGGGGTGGGGTGGGGTGGGGTGGGCAGCTGCTTCCCACATCACTAAAAATCAATACAAATCTTAGGTTCTGCCTCCCCCCACCGAAAAGTCTGCCCGCCCTAACAAAAATCCTTGCTACACACATGGAGGAGCATACCGTTTTTCACTGTTTTGATCCCTAGGATTTGCACCAAAACCAGAAAAGTCAAGGAAATCAGGTCAAATTTTTAAGGTGGTTTGCTTGAACCTTTTTCTAGTTTTGTGCAAAACCAAGATATCAAAAGAAGAAGAAAAATACACCAGATATTGCACAGATATCTGTGAACATGCCCTATTGATATTTAATCATGATAGCAGATTTAACAAATTAGAAGGCAGACACAAACCCCAAAAGGAGATGCTACTGGAATGAACAGGAGAGGCAGAAGTTGCTCCTCATATACAAATCCAAGTATGTCTGGGTATGGAACTCGCCAGTGTAATTTGAATGAGGGGGGAAGTGGATATACAGCTAAATAATGCTCACATGTGGTCAAGCCCTTATTCTCATGTTCATGCAAGCTTTACTTGGTTTAACTGGTAGACTATTCAAGTAGAACTTCAGTTGATTAATGGGGTAGAGGACAAATTTTAACTGGTAATGCTGAGAGCTTGTTTATCATTTTTGAGGCTATTTTCATTTTGGTCCATTACTGCAAAATGAAACCGCTAAAGGTGGTATTAAAAGAGAAATAACCCTGTTCTCTTTAATCTATCTTGTCTCTTGGTAGAGAATGATAACAAGTGTCATCAGCTGGTCTTGTTGACTCCTAGTCCCCTTTCCCTGAGGAAGACTTGGAAAAATAAGTGACAAAGGGTCCTCCTTTAAGTCAATGCAGGGTATCTGCTGAGTGCTCTGGTACGTACTTATGACACTGACAAGTCTTCTTTTCAAGCAAGTGCTGTCTGGCCTGAGCCATCTTCCTTGCTCTTTGCTGCCAAAAAATAAAGCAGAGTTTTATGTTCTTCCAAGTTCTCTTCCACAGACTTCTGTATGTACAAGTATCTCCCCCCCTCCCCTTTCCATTTATAAGCACATATCCACTCACCCTTTTCTGTTTAACAGTTTTGCAACTGAACACACACACGCCTATGATGATGATCAACAGCAGCAACATCCCACCAGCTGCAATGGCTATGTAAGTCAGTGGGAATGAATTGGACACAGTTGAGGCCTCATCTGTGGCAAAAAGGAGAGAGGAGATGAGAGGAGGATACACATATGAAATGGAAATAAATAATATAGGATGGAAACAAATGATACAGGGTGGTAGTCAACAAAGTTTTGCCCAGAGTAGAAATCAATGGACCCAACTTCATCAATTTCAATAGGTCTACCATGAGTAAAACTCACTGTGCTGAAAATTGCCAAAGCCACATGCATCTGATAAAGTATGCTTTGGCCCACGAAAACAAATGCCATTCTAAATGTGTTACATCATTAAAGTGAAAAGACCTTGTGGTTTTTGCTGCAATGGGCTGCCGTGGCTACCACTTCTGGAAATCCGCTCCACTTCCCAGTGGGGAGGAGTTGCGGCGGACCGCGTGGCCACCCACTCCCCACCGGGGGTGGGGGACTTTGTCCCCTGTTGCCCGGGGGATCCCGGCCACGTCAGAGCCTGGCAAGCCAATCTGCTGGCCGGGGGGGCGTGGCCGAGGCCTTTTAAACGGAGGAGCGAGCCAGGGGACTTCCTCTTTGGCTCGCTTCCTCAATCACCCACCCTCCCTCCCTATTTTGCAGGTTAGGCAATGACCTTGCTATGGACTTCGGTTGGTCGCCTTGGTTGTCCGAGGGGCCTGGTAGGAATTTTTCCACTTGGCAAATTGAAACTGGCCACTTGGTTTTCGCCTACCTCGTAGCAATCGTCACAACTTTGTTAGGGTTGCGGTTAGGCATTGTTTGACCTTGTGTGGGGGAGGGGAGGTGTGGCCATCCCCTGCCCCTCCATGCTTAAGGGTATTCCGTTAAAGGAATCCGGGGGTGTTGATCTAGTCTGAAGCCCGACTGGGGGCTAGAGCCTTGACCCGACCCCGACGGGAACACCAGGGGGAGCTTGAGTTGGTTTGCATCGACAGGGCTCCCCCTACCGGTGGCTTACCCTTACTGGACTTCCTGCACAATGGGCAGGAGTCAGATACAGTCAGGTCCAATCAATGCCTAAGCCAGTACTGCTCACATTCTCTAATTTCAAGAAAGTTGTGGCCAAAATTTGCCCAATAACATAAACCTAATATCTGTGTCCTTGCGTGAGTTATTTCCAACGAGGGGGTGGCTGCGGGGTCTTGACACGCAACATACCTACAAAGTAGATCATACTGAGCTTCTCTTCGTCCTGCACCGTGAGGCTGCACTTCCATTCCCCTGCACTTCTGGTCTCATAACAAAATTTGCCCTCTGGAAGGTGAGTTTCACATTTGGGCGAGTCACTCCTATTATTCCAGCACAGCTGAGCCTTAGAAAGATCAGGAGCAGAGACATGACAGCAGATGGTCACATTTTCTTTGGAATCAAGTCTAGGGCGGTCAGCAGAAACTGCAGGGAAGACAAGAAAGGAACGTTCACAGAGGTCCCGTTTCCACAAAGCTCAGGAGAGAATGCCAAGCCTCCATGCTGGAGATGCTCATTGCTACAAGAGACACATTCATCTTATGATCTAAGGTTCTAGGCTGCCTGACTCACAAGAAAGGCTTCCTCCCAATGGAAAGGCAAAAACACTTGGATCGACACACAGACTTGAGGTGGTACAGCTCCATCGGCTTTATTTAGAGGGCCACAATGCAGAGGAAGTCAGTGTACACTGTCCATATTTTGGGCACCAGCTTATATCCTGGTTTGGCATATTGTCCAGGGTCCTTTTGCCACCCTCCAAACACACAAGCGGAGGCAATTTTAAGTGTGGCACAAAACGGTACCAAAGCAGCACTCTACTTTGGCACTGGTTTGCAGTCAATCAGATGAGGTTGTGTTTCTGACCCTTTACTTGTGACCCCGGTTTGAGTGTCAGTTACTCCGTTGGGGGGTGGGGCGGCAGCGAAGGCGGGGTCTGCAGCACAAAACAGCACCAAACCAATCAGGCAGCAAACTGTCTTGGGCTGGGCTGACCAAACCATCAAAACACCCTCTTTACCAGTGCCGTTATTCCAATCCAAATCAGAGCACCCTTTAGTTGCTTCAGAGTTTTTGTTTGTTTTGACCTCACGTCTATTTTTGCCCAAAGTTTTAGGAGTTCCTGGGAATTGTTTCTGTTTTTCAACTAGGAGTTTCACCAGGTCTAGATGGGATAGTTTTTGCAAGTGTGATCTAAGCAGTGTTATGGTCCTTGTTTACACCATAACACAAAGTGATCGAGACTTATTCTTACCTTTCATCACTACCAAGTGGGTGGTCTTACTCAAATTCCTCCGTGTAAATGCAATACTGCACTTGTGCTCTCCAGCATGCTCAAACTGGACCTTGCCTATCGTTTGCTGAAGTAGGGAACTGTTGAAATTGTTTAAGTCAACCTCCACAATGGTCTTGTTATCCTTCGTCCATCTCAAAACTGGGTTTCTTAGGATGTTCTTTGGAATCTCTTGGAAGTCAATGTTCAATTCACATGAAAGGACAACTGTGCTATTAACAGCTGCATATATAACAGCTCCATCCAGTGAATTAACAAAACCTGATTTTAAGACAGAAAAAACAGGAATAAATAATTTCCATTTTCCTCAGTAAAGAGTAGGGAGAAACTCTTTCCCCCCATAGAATTCTAGAGAGGCTTTACTTGTGAACCTATTTCTGGGTTCCCTAAACGAAGTAGACTCTGCAAAGAAAAAGCTATGAAAATGAAAAAAGGGGCTGCATCATCACCATCAAGTACTCAAAGATCTCTTCTCCAAAGTTTGGCAAATGCACCATTTAAAGGCAAGGGGGCCAGATGGTAACAGAAACTGGCACTGGAGTAATTAAGAAAGACTAGTCAAGGGACAATGAAAGTGCTGCTCAAACCACCCCCACCACCCCCAGTATTAATCAGTCAACAAGACGCAAGGAACATGCAGGACCAACTTTCCATTAAAGGTACAAGTTTCCTGAAAGGCCTTAAAAACATTTTACTTGTCCACAGTGGAAAGAGAGGTTATGCAACTGAGTTTTATTGCAAAAAACAACAACAAAAAACTGTCAAAAGAGAAGGAGTGGGGTGTGCACAGAAAATGATCTGGCAACAATGTCCTCCGGATTATCCGTAAAAATAAGTGATTGAACAAATGATGGCGATTCCAGCCTTTAACTCGGACGGCCTGGAAGCATCACACAGTCACTACAATATCTTTTACGCTTCTCTTTATAATGTTGTACAACTTGGCAGAATTAACCATGATGCATAAGACCTCTTCAGGCTGTCCCCATCACTGTGAGTTGGATGGTGACTGTCTGCAGTAGGGAAGCAGGTTTTGTTTTTTTAGGGGACGCGGGTGGCGCTGTGGGTTAAACCACAGAGCCTAGGACTTGCCGATCAGAAGATTGGTGGTTCGAATCCCCGCGACGGGGTGAGCTCCCGTTGCTCGGTCCCTGCTCCTGCCAACCTAGCAGTTCGAAAGCACATCAAAGTGCAAGCAGATAAATAGGTACCGCTCCGGCAGGAAGGTAAACGGAGTTTCTGTGCGCTGCTCTGGTTCACCAGAAGCGGCTTAGTCATGCTGGCCACATGACCCGGAAGCTGTATGCCGGCTCCCTTGGCCAGTAAAATGAGATGAGCGCTGCAACCCCAGAGTCAGTCACGACTGGACCTAATGGTCAGGGGTCCCTTTACCTTTACCTTACTGATGCATTTTATAACCCTGATTTTCTGCTCACTTGGCTCCCTGCTGCAGATGGCCACCTTCCAACTTGTGGAAGGAAACAAATGGGATAGGGATGGGGCATGCTCCTCCCGCTTCCTCCTCCACAAAACATTAGTATAGTTGTTGTTTTTGGTTCTTCTGCAAGGAAAAGAACCGACGAGGTCAGTGATTTTTCCTACCTATCACTCTGACATCATGGGTGATGCGAAGCCCACTACGACTAATGAAGCATTCCCAGGTCCCTTGGTCCTCCTGAGCTTTAAGGTCCTTTATCTGCAGCCTCCGATCTTTATTTTGTAGAGTCCATCGCTCTTTTTCATTCGTTATTTTTGACTTGTTGGGGCCAAACCACTCAACCTGGGTAGACATGTCCAAGGAAGACAGTTCCAGTTGTGTAATGTCACCCTCCAGGAGGTATTCATCTGAAGGTCCTTTTACTATGAAGGGGGGAGAAAGCCTTATTAGGTTAATTGTTTTTACCTAGGGCTCTTCCCTGTCCTCCTCCCCAAGCAAGTGCAGGAAGATGGGACAGGGAAAAAGGAGTTGACATTAAACTTTTCTTCTTTCTCCATATCACATCACTCACCGCTCCACAAGTTAAGATTAGTAGTTTTTATTTTCCCATGTGCTTCACATGTATACTGTCCTTCCTTTCCATTTCTCATAGTTAAAGAGTAATCCCCTTTATCTGCATTCTTTAACGAGTATGTTGCTGATGATGAGGAGGAACCTTTGAAAGAAGTGGAGTCACAGAGAGTTAAAGCTTTTCATCAGAGAGCAAAGGTTCTGCCTTCCCTCTTTTAAATGCATAATGAATGGTACAACTGGATTTTTACCTCTTAAAAGATGTCCACGCTGATATTTAATTATTTCTTCTGATTTATATTTCCAGATCACTGGAACGCTTGGGTTAACTATATCAACTTGGCAAGGAAGGGTAACTTCTTGCCCGTAAGTAGCATCTATGTAATGCTCTTCAGTCACATGAAGCATCACACCTGAAAGATACACAGGCTCAAAAAACACAAAAACAAAACCACATAGAAAAACAAAAACAGGTCAACAGAATTCTCCCCTCCGCACTGAATTCTGGGGTTTCCCAGCCCAAAGCTTACAATCTGAACACCATCTTTGGACTTTATAGTACCTTCATTTTCGTATATGCTTGCATTTATGTTCTCTTTTTCTTAATATCTTTTATTTAAGTGTTTCTTTATGTCACTCAAGTGTCACTGGAAAATGCATCAATTTGGATTTAATACTGAGAATTTGATCAACCCCCAGAATAAATAGGAGTACAAAGGACTGCCACAGTAATTCTAATTTCTGCAGGAGCTCTTACGTCTAGTTTTAAACCAAAGGATTGACCAGATTTGCGGCCAGCATGAAAACTTGCTTTTGAGTGCTGAAGTCAGCGTTACAGTAGATCAACGACTGTCAACCATATGGGTCACCCCAAGTCTCTGGAACCACAACAACTACTAAATCTGTTCCTGAAAATCTCTGCTATTTTTGCCGCCCCCGCCCCCCCCCCATTTGTTACCAAGAGAAGGCAGCCTTCTGTGAGCAGGAGATATTGATCCCAGCAATCCAGTGCAATATAGTAAAAGGGTGTGCAGGTCTTTTTTGTAGTAACAATGTACAGCAACAATAAGAACACAGTATGGGCTATGGCAAGGCGGGAAATGGGTCATATGGAAATGGTTCCTATGTGGACCAACACAGCTAGCTCGCTTTGCTTTTTCAGCTTTCATTATATTTCTAGCCAAAGCAAAACATCTGTGTTGGTGACTCTGGCACTATGTGTGCCTGCTGAAGAGAACTTACCCAAGACAAAGGAAACAAGAATGCATCTCAAGATCATATCCATCGGTAGAGCTTTGCGTACTGCAGACTCGGTCTTCTGTCTAAGGGATCCTAGCAGGGAAAGGTCAGAAATCTTGTAGAAGAAGAAGAAGAGTTTGGATTTGATATCCCCTAAGGAGTCTCAAAACGGCTAACAATCTCCTTTTCCCTTCCTCCCCCACAACAAACACTCTGTGAGGTGAGTGAGGCTGAGAGACTTCGGAGAAGTGTGACTGGTCCAAGGTCACCCAGCAGCTGCATGTGGAGGAGCGGGGAAGCGAACCCGGTTCACCAGATTACGAGTCCACTGCTCTTAACCACTACACCACACTGGCTCTCCTGATTGTATCAGTGAAGTCAGCAGTGGTTTCTTCCCTAAATATATCATACAAAATATATAGACAGAAAATAGTCAACTGATTGATAATATGGCCTGGTGTGCAGTTAGTCATTTGGAAGCTGGTCCTCTCTATCAGGTAGTCATTATGGGTGATGTGTGGCTGCCAGTGATATCTGTTCAGCAAAGTAACTAGGGTGGTGCAACTGGTGTCCCAACACCAGCTGCAAGATTGTGGTGGAGGTGCAAGATTTGCTGCCCCCAACAGAATAAATTATAATTTAAATATAATTTTCATATTTATTTCATTATGGGGGGGAAACCCAGAATTACCCACATGTAATTAATAAAACCATTCCAAATAGTGAAACCAGACGGAGGGCCTTCTCGGTAGTGGCGCCCGCCCTGTGGAACGCCCTCCCATCAGATGTCAAGGAAATAAGACATCTGAAGACAGCCCTATTTAGGGAAGTTTTTAATATTTAATGTGGTATTGTTTTTAACACTCGATTGGGAGACGCCCAGAGTGGCTGGGGGAACTCAGCCAGATGGGTGGGGTATAAATTATTATTATTAATCCCATTTGGGTAATTTTGATTTTTGATAGTGAAATAAATATGAATGGAATCTTAAAATGTATGAAATTTGTTCACGGTTCTAATGGGACCCCTTTTTTGCTTCCTATTGTTCTAAATTATCATCCCTACGCTTCACTGAACCACAGATGCAAGGAATGGTTGTGAGACTCTGTTGCCTTGCTGCCATATTTCATATTGAGGGCTATTTTGTCTTATTTTTAAAAACCAAGATACTCAGAAAATGAACTGATCAGATTGTGTATAGTGGAACAGTCTTGCTCATCCTCCCAAAACACCTCGATAAGCTAATAGTAAATTATTACTGAGAAAATGTGGACCTGATCCAGAGGCCTTTTTGCTGCCAAAATCCAACTTAAGCATTGCAATATTAAAGCGTAGCTCTAAAATCTGCTTTCAGAAGAGGACCTGGATGCCATTACTTTATCCAGTAGTTCCAATACATTCCCCACCTTAAAATCATACCATGGGAAAGAGATATACTTAGCAGAGCTAACTTCTTTTTCTCAGCCAAGCCCTTACAGCCCTGTATTTTCAGACTATGGAATCTAATTTTCTGGAAGGGAGATTTAAGAAAATCCCTAGAGATCAGCACTTTTGCATATGCAGCAACCCCTGGGTAGAGGACACAACACACAATATAAGGTAAACTGTATATGTAATACCTAGGCAAAAATATTTAGAGAAATCTTTAGCATTAGCCACATGGTGAGCTGGTTGTCTGCAATCTGTAGCAGGTGATGTTGAGCGGAGGAAGGTGCTCCCCTGAGCTAGAGTAATAGAATAATAAAAATGTAGAGTTGGAAGGGACCCGAGGGTCATCTAGTCCATCCCCCTGCAATACAGGAATCATTTACCCAACATGTGGCTCGAACTCATAACCCTGAGATTAAGAGTCTCATGCCCTACCCACCGAGCTATCCTACACATAAATTAAATTCCACAAACAACCTCCTCCGCCCCATCTAAAAAAAAGAGAAAACTAACTTTTAACTTGTTTTTTAAATTTCTGATTTGGCACTACTTGGTTACTTTAAAACAGATACAGTGGTACCTCAGGTTACAAACACTTTGGGTTACAGACTCCGCTCACCTGGAAGTAGTACCTTGGGTTAAGAACTTTGCTTCAGGATGAGAACAGAAATTGCGGCGCGGCAGTGCGGCAGCAGCGGGAGGCCCCATTAGCTAAAGTGGTACCTCAGGTTAAGAATGGTTTCAGGTTAAGAACGGACCTTGGGAATGAATTAAGTTCGTAACCAGAGGTACCACTGTATAAAAGGTAAAGGGACCCCTGACCATTAGGTCCAGTGGTGACCGACTCTGAGGTTGCGGCTCTCATCTCGCTTTATTGGCTGAGGGAGCCTGCGTACAGCTTCCGGGTCATGTGGCCAGCATGACTAAGCCACTGCTGGCAAATCAGAGCAGCGCACGGAAACGCCGTTTACCTTCCCACCGGAGCAGTACCTATTTATCTACTTGCACTGGTGTGCTTTCGAACTGCTAGGTTGGCAGGAGCAGGGACTGAACAACGGGAGCTCACCCCATCGCTGGGATTTGAACCGCCGACCTTCTGATCGGCAAGTCCTAGGCTCTGTGGTTTAACCCACAGTGCCACCCGCGTCATAGGTCTGTTAACATTCTTGCTTCCAACATAATAGCATCTGTTCTCTCACTCACAGCGTATGGTGTGGAAGGCACAGTTTAGCTGCCTCTCAAGGCTCTTGCCCAGCATGAAGGGGCACTCCTTGCTGTTGAAGAACTTGTTTTTGCTGCTTTTTCTTCAGATTTTCAGATTCTAAGATTTTCTAAACTGGGTCCTTCTGCATGCAGAACAGATGCTTGACATTCCTGCCCAGCAAAACTCATATTCACCAGGTCAGGCAACTTTTCTGCCTAGTCCAGTACTCTACTCCAACTGGCAGTTGATATCTAGGGTCTACAGCAGAGGCCTTCTAGACCACCTGCTCACCCGTTCCTTTTAAGTAGAGATACTAAAGACTGAATCTGGGAAGCCTTTGCTTGCATAACACGTCCTCTGTCACTTAGCTATGGTCCATCTCCAAAGGAATGCAGTGACTATACCACTATGCATTTTGTAAAACAAACAAACAAAACAAAGCAAAACCAAAAACCAACCAGGTGTGCTGGTGAAACCACAGAAGACAACATGAGCTGTTAGCAAGTGTCCGACACGGGTGGCGCTGTGGGTTAAACCACAGAGCGTAGGGCTTGCCGATCAGAAGGTTGGCGGTTAGAATCCCAGCGACGGGGTGAGCTCCCTCTGCTCGGTCCGTGCTCCTGCCCAACCTAGCAGTTCGAAAGCACGTCAAAGTGCAAGTAGATAAATAGGTACCGCTCCAGTGGGAAGGTAAATGGCGTTTCCATGCGCTGCTCTGGTTTGCCAGAAGCGGCTTAGTCATGCTGGCCACATGACCCGGAAGCTGTACACCGGCTACCTCGGCCAGTAAAGCAAGATGAGCGCTGCAACCCTAGAATTGGTCACAACTGGACCTAATGGTCAGGGGTCCCTTTACCTTTATGTAGGTGCAGTAATAGGAAACTATGCAACCTTGAAGTCACAGAGCTCAATCATGTTGAATTGCTGATGAGTGTTAAGATCTCAGCAAGACAGACCATCCGAAACTTCCTTAGTTGGATAAATAACTTATCATCCTGAAAATTTAGAATAGGTCTTCCTGCCCTTCATCCTTTGTCCAGATAGTAAAATTGCCTTCGAATGATACTCTGCTGCATGGCAGGCTGTGCCAACAGTCTCTTTGAAAGGTGAAGGTTAGCTTTTAAAAGCTTATTTTGATTTTCCTTGAGTATAGCATAAAAGTTTGGCACATTTCCCCAGAGGAAGTATTAATCTAGCTATGCACAATTTTGAAAGTTCAATATGTGAGAAACCAGCATGGGCGAGGAATAAAACATGACTGACAACAAGGGAGTTACGGTGTTGAAAAAGAAAGTCACATGTACTTTGTATGTATTTCCCCCCTATGAGGAAATGCTGCCACATAAGGAGATTTTTAGTTCAGAAAACAGGTAGAGGACATGGCAAGAGATTATACATGGGTGGAGAAGGGGAATAGAGAAAACTGTTTTCCCCCTCTCCCATAATACTATCACCATCTAATGAAGCTGGATGTTGGAAGTTTCTGGACAGAGAAAAGGAAGTACTTCTATATACAGCATGTTACACTATGGAATTCACTCTCACAAGAGTCAATAATAGCCTTCAATGTGGGCAGCTTTAAAAGAGGATTAGACAAATTCCTGGAGGATAAGACTATCAATGACTACTAGCCACGCTGGATATGTTCTGTCCCCACTGTTAGAAGCACATTTCCAAACACAATTCAAAGGGTTGGGGCTGACCTTTAAAGCCCTAAATGGCCTCAGCCCTGTATATCTGAAGGAACGTCTCCACCCCCATCGTTCAGCCTGGACACTGAGATCCAGCTCCGAGGGCCTTCTGGCGGTTCCCTCACTGCAAGAAGTGAGAGAAGTGAGATTACAGGGAACCACGCAGAGGACCTTCTTGGTAGTTGCACCCATAGGGAAGTTTTTAATGTTTGATTTTTTACTGTGCTTAATGTTTTTAATTTGTTGGAAGCTGTCCAGAGTGGCTGGGGCAACCCAGCCAGATGGGCGTCAAACAAACAAACAAACAAACAAACATAGCAGTAAGCCTCTGAATACCTGTGAAAAGCGGGAAAAGCGCTGTTGCACTCAGGTCCAGTTTGCAGGCTTCCCATCCGCATGTTGTTGACCACTGTGAGAAGAGGATGTTGGAGCAGATGGGCCTTTGGTATCATCCAACAGGGCTTTTGTCAAATCAAAATACAGTGGTACCTCAGGTTAAGTACTTAATTCGTTCCGGAGGTCTGTTCTTAACCTGAAACTGTTCTTAACCTGAAGCACCACTTTAGCTAATGGTGCCTCCTGCTGCCGCCACGCCATCTGAGCACAATTTCTGTTCTCATCCTGAAGCAAAATGTTAAGTTGTGGGTGAACATATCGGACGACACAACGATTCTTCAAACAGCTCTTGTTTATTCACAGCCAGAACAGAACTGAACTGCAGGGTTCAGCCAGCCCGCTTATATAGAGCTCCACTACAACACAACAGTAACCATTTTCTATAACTATCCAATCACTGAATGTCACTTTCAATCCCTTATTTGCATATGTGGACCTGAGTGAAAACTATCTACAGTATCCCCCTTCTGGCCCAGGGTGAGAACTTCAGTACATAACACCAAGTTCTTAACCCGAGGTAATATTTCTGGGTTAGCGGAGTCTGTAACCTGAAGCGTCTGTAACCTGAAGCGTCTGTAACCCGAGGTACCACTGTAATGGAAAGGAGGTACAAGAGTTTATCTCAAAGCTGTCTAGTTCCCTGCATGAGAACTGGGAGCATAATCAAGGCTAATGATACTGCTGTTTTTGCTGAAACAAACTGGAACACAGGTCAGTGGATCACAGGAGAGGCTTGTTGCAGTTTTGGCTCAGAGCCTATGCTACCTGAAGGATGTTCTCTGAGTAACGCTTTAAATGCTCTGGTAGAGTGATTGGTTTTGGGTCGCACATACAATGTGCAGGTCACAGTCAAAGGATTTAGTGGCTCCTTCGGAACACAAGGCAGATTCATGTAAAGAAGGTGAATGCTGAGAAGCTGAGCTGTGGTCTCTGGAGGAGCTATCATGGTGAAGTGGTTGCAAGAGGTTGCATCAGGTAGATGTGACAGAAGATGCAGTAGTACTGATACTGCAGTCATAGCATATATTAACTGGGACCACAGTTGGAGAGACGGCCAGAGGTGGCCACAATATGGTGGATGGTTGTGATGAAGCCAACATTAACAGTGTAGGATGGTAAGGTGGGGTCAACAATATCACAAAGAAAATGACAAAGGTTACTGCCAATAGGTTACTAGCCTATCTAGTGGATGAGGTAGGGGTATCCTGTCTGGATAAATCAGAAAGGTGAACTCACTAAGGAGTATCCAGTGTACATGTACGTGTGTGTGTGAATGAGAGACAGAGAAATCCCACCTGTCTGTTAATCTGAACGAATTAAGGTTTTTTTGGTACTGAATCCTAAGGATAGTATTTGATATAAAAGGGCAAAAGGGACATATATCTTGGTGTGCCTTCCTGACAGGAGAAACATCCTGAGTTTTGTTGTTGTTGTTTAGTTGTTTAGTCATGTCTGACTCTTCGTGACCCCCTGGATCAGAGCACGCCAGGCACTCCTGTCTTCCACTGCCTACTGCAGTTTGGTCAAACTCATGCTGATAGCTTTGAGAACACTATCCAACCATCTCGTCCTCTGCCGTCCCCTTCTCCTTGTGCCCTCCATCTTTCCCAACATCAAGGTCTTTTCCAGGGAGTCTTCTCTTCTCATGAGGTGGCCAAAGTCTTGGAGCCTCAGCTTCAGGATCTGTCCTTCCCGTGAGCACTCAGGGCTGATTTCCTTAAGAATGGAGAGGTTTGATCTTCTTGCAGTCCATGGGACTCTCAAGAGTCTTCTCCAACTCCTCCTGAGTTTTAGGAGAAGTCAAGCCTACCATCGCAAGTTATCTCCCTCCAACATGGAACCCAGAATCTAGCCAGCATAGTAATGCTGCCAGAGGTTGCAAATGAATACTAAATGAAAGGCATATGAAACCAAGATAAAAACCTCTGGAGCACAGACTCTGGTTGAGACAGCAGCACTGGCATTAAGGTCATCAACCTTGACTAAGCCGTGGTGTTAGTGAAGGGTTCAAGAATGGAACTGGGATAAGTAGTACTATTGGGTGGAGTAGAGGAACAGTCCTTTCCACGCCTCTTCCCGAGAGCTTAGACTCCGCTGAGACCGATGCAGAATGCCTATGTGTGTGCTGGGATCTTATACTTTTAAAGTTATTTAGAAGCTCACTTGGCGGCTAGTTTGGCACACATAGTTGATGGCACTGAACCTTCAGAAGCCACATGGGCACTGAGGTTTAAATCCAAGGCGGTGTTGGGCACTGCTGAAACTGAAGCTGGTCTCTCAGTGGAACGACAGGACAGGCTGCATAGCTTCTTCAGAGCCTGTTTCATGCAACGCCTGGAGAGGAGAAGAGCAATTTCCACGGGGTTGCTTGGTATACCACTGACAGCAGGGACAAGGCTCTATGCTGTGTTACTCTCTCCTAAGCAGAGAAGGCAAAGCATGACCTATAAAGCCGCAGGTATGCAACCTGCTTTTTATTTTGTGGAAAAATACAATACAGGACTCTTAACCGCTCCTTTGTGTGTGCAAGGGTTACATAAACAAGGTCTTTTGTCATGTGTTTGTGTGCTCCTGCACAACCCTTCCTCTGTTTTTCTCAGCCCGCCCCCATGGCCTTGTGGTTTTCTTTTTGCTCTGCTCTTGTTTGCAGCTGAGGTTTCTGTTCAGGAACCTGCTGAGAAATGATAAGAGGCTCTGCTTGCGGGGCTCTATCTGTGGGTTTCTGTTTCTTCCACACCACCCTCCAGGACGAAAACAAGATATTTGCCATTTCCAGACCGAAACATTAATCCAAAGCCTGGAGCCCAGTAGACCTTACGGCCAAAATAAGATGAGGCCTGGGAGATCCTTGGTCATATCTCCTGACATTTTCATTTCTACCTAGAGGCAACTGCCAGGGACTTCAACAGTGTGGGGGAACTAAGCAAGGGACACAGGTGACATGTGTGCCTGTTTTGTCTGCTGCCCAGGTGTTAACTGCTGGTGGACAACTGTGAGGCTCCTGATCCCCTTCTTAGCATTCATTATCTTTAAACCAGACTTGGGTGAGGCAGCCCTTCAGCTAGATCAGTCTTCGCCAACCTGGCTTAGGACAACAACTCCCATCAGCCTCAGCCAACATAGCTGGGGGGGGGGGGGTTGAGGAAGGCTGATTTAAATAATCATCAATCATTTGCTACGTTGGCTCCCAGTACGTTTCCGAGCACAATTCAAAGTGTTGGTGCTGATCTTTAAAGCCCTAAATGGCCTTGGCCCAGTATACCTGAAGGAGTGTCTCCACCCCCATCGTTCAGCCCAGACACTGAGGTCCAGCTCCAAGGGCCTTCCGGTGGTTCCCTCCCTTTCAGAAGCAAAGCTACAGGGAACCAGGCAGAGGGCCTTCTCGGTAGTGGCGCCCGCCCTGTGGAACGCCCTCCCATCAGGCGTCAAGGAAAGAAACAACTACCTGACATTTAGAAGACATCTGAAGGCAGCCCTGTTCAGGGAAGTTTTTAATGTGTAACATTTTAATGTATTCTTAATCTTTGTGGGAAGCCACCCACAGTGGCTGGGGAAACCCAGCCAGATGGGCAGGGTACAAATAATAAATTATTATTATTATTATTGTTGTTGTTGTTGTTGTTGTTGTTGTTGTTGTTGTTATTTGCCTGCAATAATCTTCCTGTGTGGCTGTGCTGGTGGCTGGGGTGGATGAAGATTAGCATCTGGAGAGCACCAGTTTGGTGGAAGCTGAACCGGAGGACTCCCCTCAAGACAGGATTGTCCTCTGACACTTCTTCAAGCAAATGTCTGTCCTCTGATTCGGCACTTCCCTCTGGTCCTTTGATGCTGGTCTGCCTAAACAGGTTCTTGGCCTTCAGCCTCTCATGTCTATTGCCCTTTTGATCCTTAGTTGCCTGAACAACTTGGGTAAAAGGTTTCTGATACGCCATTATTATGGAATGCAACTGATATTTTTTATATTGAAGTTGATGCTTTGCTTTTGCTATGAATTTTTATGTTCTTGAGGATCTGAGGACCATTATGTCTGTTTGTGCTCCTACACCCAAGATTCTTTATTTAAAGAAATTTTGGTATCATTTCCCCATGGATTCAATGCCTGTACAGAAAATCCCAAGTTTGGAAGTAGTTCTGAAAGATTTTGTAACCAAATGTTTCCTAGAGAAAGTGTCCTCTGCTTTTCTAGACAGATCTTAAGAAGCCTGTCTTTCATCTTCTGGCTTAGTCTGCACTAATAATTAGCCATCCTAACATATATTGGGACGCAGGTGGCACTGTGGGTTGAACCACAGAGCCTAGGACTTGCTGATCAGAAGGTCGGCAGTTCGAATCCCCGCGACGAGGTGAGCTCCCGTTGCTCGGTCCCTGCTCCTGCCAACCTAGCAGTTCAAAAGCACGTCAAGTGCAAGTAGATAAATAGGTACCGCTCCGGCGGGAAGGTAAACGGCGTTTCCGTGCACTGCTCTGGTTCGCCAGAAGCGGCTTAGTCATGCTGGCCACATGACCCAGAAGCTGTACACCGGCCCCCTCGGCCAGTAAAGCGAGATGAGCGCCGCAACCCCAGAATCGGCTATGACTGGACCTAATGGTCAGGGGTCCCTTTACCTTTACCTAACATATATTAAACCAGAAATAATTTCCATACGCAACACTCAGCTGATTAGATACAGTGGGGTAAATTCAGAAACTCTGAAAAGCCTACTGAAAAAGTGGCTTTGAACTCTCAACATTTTAGGAAGATCAGCAAAGCCCCAGATTTCCACACCAAAAAATTGTTTTGCTTTGAAAATATTTAAAATGGGATGTATTGACTCTGGGCATCTAAAATTTAGCAGTTTGTAGACAACAACTGCTTTCAGTGCATTTTTCTTAATTTGCAAAGCCCAGAATCATGAAACTGAAAAAGTTCTGCCAATATAACAGTAAGGTTTTACCTTATATATATATCATGTTCATAACTGCATATATAAACCACATGTCTGAAACCCCACAGAAAAAGTCCTGAAACCATTTTGTGCCTTCCAAGTTGACCTCAAATATTTCTCTGCAAGGTCGAAGGAAAATGGAAAAGCCTCCCCGTTGTCTTTTCCTTCACAAATCCTGTCTTAAGGGTATGTCTGTGTATGAATAGGGTGAGCCTGTGATCTGGCTCAAGAACTATTTGTCATTACAAAAGACTGGCCAGGCTCCCCAGGGTATCCAATTAAGTGACCATTAACAGGTAACCTGCCAGACAGGAGATAAACAACGCACTCAGATTTCTGTTGTAGACCGCCTTTTCTGTGATGTAGTTAGATTTGTGGGGGGGTGGTCTTGGGTTACACCCCTTCTGTGATGTATGTATGATGTATGGAGGGGTGGTCTTGAGCTCCAGGGAAGGCAATTCAAAATGTATATATAAGGGCAGGGACACCTTTGTTCTTGGTCCTCCTCCTTTCCTGCGTGTGAGGGGAGCACCCTGTTGCAACAGTTCAATAAAGATCAGGCTTACGAGCTGCTTTGCTTCTCAATATTCTATGGTTGGCCTTTGTTATTTTCTCCGACTGATGGAGAACCTACAAACGACTCGATAAGGGCTCTTGTGTTCCCCATAAGGGAATAAGGGCAGATTTTTGTTTATTACACAAGTCAGCTGAGCAGCCCAGGACCCTCAGTAGTGCATGCCATTGTCTTCGAGACAGACAGATGCCAACAACAGTCACCAAAGCAAACAAAACTAACACTGGCCACCGTGTGTACTCTGTTTCTATTCCACATCAACCCATTCCACATTAAAATTCACATGCAACAGAAAAAAGGAGGAAAGAAGTTCAGAAAAATGTGTTGTCTTGTGGGAACGTCTCATACTGATAATATGGCAAGACCTTAGGTAAAGTAAAGGGGACCCCTGACCATTAGGTCCAGTCGTGACCGACTCTGGGGTTGCGGCGCTCATCTCGCTTTATTGGCCGAGGGAGCTGGCGTACAGCTTCCGGGTCATGTGGCCAGCAGGACTAAGCCGCTTCTGGCCAACCAGAGCAGCGCACGGAAACGCCGTTTACCTTCCCGCTGGAGCGGTACCTATTTATCTACTTGCACTTTGAGGTGCTTTTGAACTGCTAGGTTGGCAGGAGCAGGGACCGAGCAACGGGAGCTCACCCTGTCGTGGGGATTCGAACTGCTGACCTTCTGATCGGCAAGTCCCAGGCTCTGTGGTTTAACCCACAGCGCCACCCGCGTCACAATGGCAAGACCTTAAGCATCCCTATATTTCTCTTTTTTAAAAAAAGATATTTATTAAGAGTTTACAAGTTACAGAAAAAGCAAGAGAACAATAAAGAATTAAACAAAACAAAACAATACCTTACAATACATCAAAGAAAAAATTTGTGCTCTGTCCACCATAACTGAAGTGGCTTAAAGTTGCCTTCCCCAGCCAGATGTTTCAAACGACAACTCCCATCATAAACCTCAGCCAGCATGTGCTGACGGGAATTTTAGTTCAAAACATCTGTAGGGTACTAGGTTGAGGAAGGCAGCTCTAAAGGCTACAGTTTCTATTATATATCTATTGCATTTTATAAATGTTGCAAGCTGCTTTTGGACTGCAGCCAAAATGTGGGATGCAATTAAATAAATACCTGCCCCCCCCCAAAAAAATCACTAGAAAAATAAGTCATCCAAGAATTGTGGGGAAATCTGTTAATGCCAATAAAACCCACATCATTATCTGACTGTTAAACAGACTGTGAGTATGTTAAGGTACTGATGACTTTACGAAGTCAACAGAAATGAAAAAAATAATAATGAAAAATTACAGTGATAATGAAACTTGTTGTTGATGTCCTATACATTTCCATAAGATGAAGATCTTGATTTTTAATATGCAAGTTTCCATTGTAATTTGAATGCTGAAGCGATCAGGTTTTTCTCTTTGACATCTTCCTAACCTTTACGTATTTACTGACATTTGATCTCCATGTCTTTGCCACCAAAAGCAATACTACGACCAGAACTGTGATTGTAAACTAAGCCTACACTCCTATGAATACTTACTTGGGATTGGGAGTACATCCCATTGAACGAAATGGGACTTTCTTCTGAGTAAACTGCTAGCACCTTAAAGACTAATACATGTATTATGGAAAAGACTTTCCCATCTCCTCCAATGTTTCTCAGATGAAAATAGGGACATCCTAGTCCATCCCCTCCAACATTTTCACTGATGAAAATAGTGACGGCTTCTGCCATTCCGGGACTGTTCCTGGAAAATCAGGACATTTGGAGGGTACGCTTTCATTGACTCAAGTCTATTTCATCAAATACATGAAATGTTATCCTCATTTGACTGGTATGGGGGATCTACATGGGTGTAGAGAGAAAAATGAAAACAGTGAGAATAAATGAAAATAGTTACTGCCAACTGCGGATAAAACATCATGCACGTGATGAAATATACTCAAGCTCATGAAAGTATGCCGTAATAAATTTGTTAGCATTTAAGATTAACAAATTTATCCTGTTGTATGTTTACTCTGGGGGACACGGGTGGCGCTGTGGGTTAAACCACAGAGCCTAGGACTTGTCGATCAGAAGGTCGGCAGTTCGAATCCCCGCGACGGGGTGAGCTCCCATTGCTCAGTCCCAGCTCCTGCCAACCTAGCAGTTCGAAAGCATGTCAAAGTGCAAGTAGATAAATAGGTACCGCTCCGGCGGGAAGGTAAACGGCGTTTCCGTGCGCTGCTCTGGTTCGCCAGAAGCGGCTTAGTCATGCTGGCCACATGACCCGGAAGCTGTACGCCGGCTCCCTCGGCCAATAAAGCGAGATAAGCGCCGCAACCCCAGAGTCGGCCACGACTGGACCTAATGGTCAGGGGTCCCTTTACCTTATGTTTACTCAAACTTTAAACGGTACCAAATTTATTATGGCACAAGCTTTTGAAGGTTAAAGTCCACTTCATGTTTTTATTGTAATTATTGATATGTTTTGATTACTGATTTTATATTTGTAAATTGTTTTAATTCTATCAATGTTTAATTGTATTTTAATGATCGATTTTTCTATGTGTTTAGTGGTTCTTGTTTATATCTGTAAGCCGTCTTGAGTCTCATCAGGGGGAAAGGCGTGTTATAAATATATACTAATAACAAAGATAATAAACGACTCGGGGGGGAAATCAGCAGAAGTTTCAGAAGACTCTTCACTGATTTTTTAATATTATTTTTACAAAGTGATTCATCACATGCTTACTAAATAAATCCCACTGAGTTCAATGGCTCTCGTAAGTGTGCTTAGGATTTTGAGCCTTGATACCATATTTGGTAACATTATTCAAAACACCAGCTGTAAAACATTCACAAAATACAGCTTTTGTGAATTTTTTAAAATGTAGTCATTCTAACAGTACAGATGTCAAGTGCTTTAACCATCAGTGCTGGTACTTCTGTTGTGGTGTATGGAACTAAGGACTTTTCTTGAAGAGTACTCTCCACGTTCATTCCCATGGCAAGCCCTGACAATTAAAATTCACTTTATACTACTTAAGTCTGTAGTATACATCTACCAGGCACTGTGGGTGGCGCTGTGGGTTAAACCACTGAGCCTAGGACTTGCCGATCAGAAGGTCGGCGGTTCGAATCCCCGCGACGGGGTGAGCTCCTGTTGCTTGGTCCCTGCTCCTGCCAACCTAGCAGTTCAAAAGCACGTCAAAGTGCAAGTAGATAAATAGGTACCACTCTGGTGGGAAGGTAAACGGCGTTTCCATACGCTGCTCTGGTTCACTAGAAGCGGCTTAGTCATGCTGGCCACATGACCCGGAAGCTGTATGCCAGCTCCCTCGGCCAATAAAGCGAGATAAGCGTCGCAACCCCAGAGTCGGTCACGACTGGACCTAATGGTCAGGGGTCCCCTTTACCCTTTATACATCTACCACGGCAGTTTCACTCCATGAAAGTACAGGGGCGATACTATCACCTGCCTGGCCAAAGTGCTCAGGAAGAGCTTGAGATGAAAAATGAAATTAGGCACCCAAAAGAGAAGGTGCTATCGTAAGGGCAACTGGGCTTTTCAGAAAATATCAAGTAGCTTTTCAGACCAGCCCTGCATGAAAAATCTCTATGGTTCTATGCTCAATGTCTATAGCATTAAGTACTAAGAGCACCAGTAAAATTGTACACTTCATTCTTCCCGGCGGGGGTATGGGGTGCTAGGGAAATGGTAGTACCTTTGGTGGGGGGCACATCATGCTCCTTCTGGGGTAGTTCGTCCACCTTTGATCCCACTCTGCACTCTCTGCACCTGTGGTTCCTAGAAACTGCTAGCATGCTAGAGTGGCCACACCCCAGGAACGGTTTCGACTGGCCGGCTAAACCAGCAGAGGGTAGGTCAGTGAATTAAGGACTTCCCCTGCATAGGTTTCAACTCCCTGGGGGGCTGGGGGCCTGAGCACCCACAAAATTTCCCAAGAAGGGGCTGGGCACCCCTGTAAATTTCGGTGCCAGGGCCACACACACTGCATTTAGGGAAGCTTTTCATGTTTGATGCATTACTGTATTTTAATATTTTGTTGGAAGCCGCCCAGAGTGGCTGGGGAAGCCCAGCCAGATGGGAGGGGTATAAATAACAAATTATTCTTCTTGTTGTTGTTGTTGCTGTTGTTGTTGTTGTTGCTCTTATTATGCATGGCACCCACAGTCCCGGGCACCCACAGTTGCGGGGCCACATGTTCCCCTGCATGTGAAGATAGGCTCCTGTACAAGACCAATAGTCGATCCAATGGTCAAGAAGCAGATGGTTTCTGCATCATGTGCTGTAGAGGGAAGTGAGGGGCAGATGAGGCTTGTCCACCTGGGAAGATAGCCCATCTAGACGGAGGAAAACTCTGAACCCAAATCTCCGCTGCCTTGTGGGATATCTTCGAGAGAAGAAAAGGCTAAGAGCTGAACCCTACACAAATCCGGAGAGATGTCCCTAAGACGGTTGGAAGCGCCTTGTACACCTCCTGGCAACTCCTGGAGCCAAGCTGGTACCAAACATATTGCTCTTCTTTCCTCTGGACCCCATCAGTGAGGCCAAGAGGAGGGTCTTGTCACCTGGGCAGCCCAGGACCTCCAGACACACTGCTTAGGCTTGCACTCCAAGGAGGTCACTTCTGAGACACTAATGCAGTGGTTTGACTTCACCCTGCCGAGGCACACTCCATTATCTCTTGAGACAGACGGATGCCAATAACAACGTTCCTCCCTATAGCGGCCCTGCTCCTTATTCTACAGTATAGCCAGATAAAGATTGTGAAGCGGAGGAGCAGCCTCTTCTTTGTCGTGGGGCTCACTTTGTAGTATTCACTCCCCAGGGAGATCTGTTTGGTGTCTTACAAGCTTCGCCAGTGAGGTAAAGTTCTTCCTAAATCAGAAGGATTTTCCTGTGGCTTGACGTCTGGATGGGTGTGGGAATTATATGAAGATCAAAAATGTTACCGCTCTCTAGCTTTTAGGCTGCACCGGTTCTCTCATTAGGCAGAGTGAGCCAACGGCCTCAGGCGGCAGATGCTGCAGGGAAGCTGTCCTGGCTGTTTCTTCTCAATCCATGAGCTGTTCCTCTCCGTTGGTGAACAGAGCTATGAATGCTGCAAAGCCTGTGCCGGACCCTTTTAGTTGCCTCAGGTGCAACACTGGCAATCCCATCACCAGTGATGGAGTAGGATTGTGCTGCCCATCCAGTCAGCTTCTGAATATGGAACGGGGAGGTTGTGCCATCTTGTCCTTTGCCTCAGGTAGCAAAATGTATTGGGCTGGCTCTTGGTTTTAAGTTCTATGCTTTTCATCTATTGTGCTAAGGGTACTATTGGGATATGTATTATAAAGGACCCCTGACCATTAGGTCCAGTCGTGGCCGACTCTGGGGTTGTGGCGCTCATCTTGCTTTATTGGCCAAGGGAGCCGGCGTACAGCTTCCGGTTTATGTGGCCAGCATGACTAAGCCACTTCTGGTGAACCAGAGCAGCGCACAGAAACACCATTTACCTACCTGCTGGAGCAGTACCTATTTATCTACTTGCACTTCGTGCTTTCAAACTGCTAGGTTGGCAGAAGCTGGGACAGAGCAACGGGAGCTCACCCCATCACGGGGATTCGAACCGCCGACCTCCTGATTGGCAAGCCCTAGGCTCAGTGGCTTAACCCGTAGTGCCAGCCAGGTCCTGATATGTATCATAGTGTTTTTTAAATGCTTAAGTGTTACTTTTTGTATTTTTAACACTTATATATCCCTTTACTAGCAAGTGAGACATGAAGCAACAAAATGTTGCTGCGTATCCCTATTCCTAGGACAAGTCCTCCTGTTCAGGGCTCCTGCCAGCCTTGTAGTCCTGCTCAGACCTCACAGGATGGGGTGTGAAGTTTCAGGTGGAAGGAAAGGGGTAAAAGACACCCCAAACGTCATTTTCATTTACAAAAAGCACTGCTGGGTTTTGTGTGTGTGGTGGAGTCAGGACTGTAGTGTGAGGTAGGGACTTGAACCAATCCTCCCCAGGCTGTTTTCCCACTGATAATTTCCCTCCCAATCTGAGGCTACTATTTGCATCCATTGGTAAAATTTAGGGGGACACAGTATCCCCCCACCTTCAGGTGTTTTTTGAAAAATATAAAGACACAAAATTTCTGTCACAGAACTGCCAATATCATGGCAGTTTGACTCTACATCAGTGGTTCTCAAAGGATGTGGTAGGAGAGGATAGCAAGTGTGGCCAGAAGATTCAAGGACAATCAAATAAACATTTGAACATTTCAGTACAGTACAGTATAAAAAAATTGGAGGGGGGGGGAATGCAACCAGAAACAGTATCCATGCCTCTGTTCAAGAGCATTTGCGCATCTTATATAGTTCTCTATGGCATATTGTTGTGAACTGCGATTTTAAACTCTGACAAATATGAAAGATCAGAAACGAGAAAGGCCTCTTTGTATTGATGAGGAGATGAGAGTTTGCCTCAAATCAAACCTCATATAAATGAAATTTCCTGGCAAAAGCAAGCTCACACCTCTCACTGAGCTTGCATACATACTTAAGGTACATATGCAAGAGGCACGTTTATATTTTGGGAATGATTTGAGTTATTGATGTAATTGCATTGTTTGATACTTTCTGTATGTCCCACGATCATATTATAAAGTAGTTGTGCTTTGTGTTATAAATCAATGATTACCAGGAGTTGTTTCCTTTTGTTTTCCAATGTATTTCTTATCCATAAAAAAAAACTGGTGTTGCGCTAGCAATTTTTTATTTTAAAAGTGTGGCCCACGGAATAAAGCTTGAGAATCACTACTCTACACATTCACTCAGAAGTAAGTTTCACTGATCTCAGTGGGATCCAATCCCGCTTCCGGATGACCTGTTTATTCAACATTCGTTCTGAATGGTTTCCACAGAGTTTGTAGCTAAATATACTACTCCTGCCCCCAGCAGGAGGTGGCAAGGCCAGAGCAGTACATGCCGGTATGCAATGGAGATACCAAGATGCATCACTTGGCTGCCATGACATGAGGCCTTTCACTATTTAATTAGTTTTTTCTCAGGCCGCACTGCGTGAGATTGAAAAGCACAGGCAGATGCCCCACGGTAGGCCATTTGTTATTACAAAGCCATTTAGTGGATCTCTTTGCATGAAAAGGTTTCATTTCTCCTTTAATGCTAGTGTGTTGTGGCCAGTTCCCTGATTAACCACCCGCCTGCATCACAGCAGCCGAAGGACCTAGGCTAGCAGACACATCTGCCTCTTCGGATTATGATGGCCGAGAAACCTGAACACAGTGAATACATTTCTGTCATGCTGAGAGAAAGCACTGTCTGCACTCGCACATCTTACTCACTGAGAAAAAGCCTGAGGCTGGGAATCCTGTTTCTCATAAACCAGAGAGTCCTATAAAAGTTTTTATGTTCCTCTGGAGTGTTGGACAAGCCTACAGTGCTCAGTTCTATGTGTGGTAAAAAATTGAGCCATGAAGGACTGGAGCAGAAATGGAAAAGCTTTATTTCTTCGCCCTCAATTTTCTCTTGACCCTCTTTGGGGCCAGAGATTGAAACATGGTGGGAAATTTGAAGAAAACAAAACTATATGTATATTTTTTTAAAAAAAATCAGGATGATGAGTAAAGTTACATTTATTGCATTTATAAGGATTTCATTACTAGCTTTTTCTCAAGAAATGTAAGGTCCTGCTTGTTTCTTTTCTTTCTTTTTATATTTATACAGTTTTGAAGTCTGATATTAGCACTGTCCAATTTATGCATCCGCTTGCCACAGTGCTGGCTGTTTATTTTCTAAATTTTTGCCCCTTTCCCCATGTGTAGATTTTATTACGGCATTAGCTTTCATGAATTACATCCCACTTCATCCAATGCATGGTAGGTCTAGTACAGTGCAAACCTATGCATGCCTACTCAGAAGTAAGCCCTATTGAGGTAGGTGTGTTTAGGACTGCAGTTGGGCAGAGGAGGAGGAGGGGACTGGAGACAAGCAGCATTGCTGCATTTGCATCTCTGCTGGCCAGGCTGCTTCACTGGAGAATTCCCCACCTCCCCACCCCCACCCCTGTGCTGGCACCTTCGGAAATCTGAGGAACTTTAAACTGGATCCAGTAGATGCAAAGCATCTAGCACTGGCACCCTGTTTGGGGGCTATTAGTTACTGCTCTTGAGAGAAATGCGGTAGTAGCTTCCTACTTGCCAGAGGCTATTTAAGAGGGAACTATGCACCATCCCATCACCTCCTGGCAAATAAGAGGGGAAGAAATGGAGGCAGTGAGAGATTTTACTTTCTTGGGCTCCAGGATCACTGCAGATGGTGACAGCAGCCACAAAATTAAAAGACGCCTGCTTCTTGGGAGAAAAGCAATGACAAACCTAGACAGCATCTTAAAAAGCAGAGACATCACCTTGCCAACAAAGGTCCCTATAGTAAAAGCTATGGTTTTCCCAGTAGTGATGTATGGAAGTGAGAGCTGGACCATAAAGAAGGCTGATTGCCGAAGAATTGATGCTTTTGAATTCTGGTGCTGGAGGAGACTCTGGAGAGTCCCATGGACTGCAAGAAGATCAAACCGATCCATTCTGAAGGAAATCAGCCCTGAGTGCTCACTGGAAGGACAGATCCTGAAGCTGAGGCTCCAAGACTTTGGCCACCTCATGAGAAGAGAAGACTCACTGGAAAAGACCCTGATGTTGGGAAAGATGGAGGGCACAAGAAGAAGGGGACGACAGAGGACGAGATGGTTGGATAGTGTTCTCGAAGCTACCAGCATGATTTTGACCAAACTGCAGGAGGCAGTTGAAGACCGGAGTGCCTGGCGTGCTCTGGTCCAGGGGGTCATGAAGAGTCAGACACGACTAAACGACTAAACAACAACATGCACCATCCTAGCCTTTCAATGTGCGTGTGTGTGTGTGTGTGTGTGTGTTTAGGAATTCAGCCTGCTAGTTTGTCGCGTTGTCCATACAAAAACCAAATAGGCACAGCATAATTAAATGCAAATCCATAACTGAATTATTAACAGTCAGGTGTGCATAAAGCAATCTTATCACATGAATGTTCCTTAAAAATTGCCTTCCTGCTGCTAATAATAAAAGAGACTGCTTTTCACATGAGCAGCCTAGCTTTACTTGCCAGTTAAAAACCAGAAACTTTTTGCAGATTGGATTAGGGGTCAAAAGGAACTAAGAGGGGAAGAAAATCCCAGAGTCTAATCGCTTTATGAATAGAGCAATTAGACAGAGAATGAGGAACAACATCTACTACCTGAGTTCTTCTAAATACAATGCCTCTGAGCATACAGAATATTCTTGTAATGGCCAAGGGCATTTGCTAAAATCTCCGGAGTAAATGCATGCCTTTTGATAAAACATTGATATTGCAAAGTCCATCTCCAATTTGATTTATGTACAGCACAGAGTTATGTTATGTGCTTTAGAATCAATATACTCATCTACAAGTAAACATAATGTCCCAATGCATTTTTTATTTTGCCTTAGGTTTTCCCTTTTCTTTTCTTTTGTCTTGTCCCTTCTTTTGCATTGCATTTCTGTTTTATTATGCTGTTATACCAGCCAACATTTTTCTGATTAAAATAGGGACGTTCCATTCCATAATGATAATTGTACTATGTATACCCCACACATATTACTGGGTTGCCCCAGCCACTTTGGACAGCTTCCAACATATATAAAAACATAATGAAACATTTAAGAAAAACCCTTCCCTATACAGGATTGCCTTCAGACTGCTCGGGGGTCGGATAACTCTACACCCTCCAACATTTCTCCTATTAAAATAGGGACATCCTAAGGAAAAGCGGGACATTCTGGGATCAAATCAGAAACTGGGACGGCTTCTCTAAATCAAGGATGTCCCTGGAAAATAGGGATACATGGAGGGTCTGTGCTGTTAACTCCTTGCTTCCACTTAGTGGCTCGACTAGAAGGAGATAACTGAAGTATTTGTAAAGCAAAATCCATCTGGACTTAGAAGGGGCTCTGTGAGTGATGCAGTATAAAAGCATTTTCAAACATGCTGTCCTATGTCCCTGACAGCCTCTGGCTCGGACCAGGCGGGGGCGAGAGGGGATATGTGCCCTAGGCAGCAAATCGGAAGAAGTGGCAAAATAGCATCCTATGTGGGAGAGGGGGGGGGGGCGGCAGCAGTGCAGACCTTTGTCCCCCTATGGAAAAATGTGTAGATTTGGCACTCGTCAGCATGTTGTGCTCTTTTTTGTGCATATATGAATGATGAAAAGGGTTTCCAATAAACCAGAATCCAGATTTAAATTTGATTAAGGTGTATGTGAAAATGATAGCTTTTTAACCATTTAACACATGGTTTATCTCGCTTGCTTCTGACGTTAGCTGTAGTATGAGGCAAGGTGAAGCGGCCATTTCTGATATCTTTAAAAGCAGATGAGTCGGAGACTGAAACAATTGATCTACAAGGCAAAATCCACCAAGACAGTCTTATCCCTGATTCATAGTGAGGATAAATCATGGATGGAAATGGAACTCCTCTACCTATTCTATAGGGAACTCCCATTCTTCCTGAAGAATCTAAAAGTGTCACAAATTTCCAATCTTTAGTTGTGGCTGGGGCAAACCAGTCAGATGGGCAGCATATAAATAAAATTATTATAAAATTATTAATATTATGCAAAAGGCCCACTGAAATTAACATGCCCTTGCACATTCTCCCCTCATTTCAATGAAGCATGTTTGTCCTCCATGTTAAATTGTGTGTTCTATAAGGATGCCATCTGGATTTTCTGCTTGAGGCACCAACATGTCCTGGATGGATCCTGTGTTCTGGTTAGGGCTGTAGAATTTCAGGTTATTCTCTCACTAGCTGCAAAATAGGGTTGGAATCCCTACTGGGAGAAACCTTTGCTTAAAATTGAAGAAAATGTGAGTGTGCTAAAGCAGGAAATTCTGTCTTGGCTGATGATGATTAAAGCAATTTTCAAGGCAAGAGGAAACAAATGCCTTGAGAAATTTTAGTCAGACATTTCAGGGACCATGGTGCGTTGAGGGGGATTGCATAAAGGCACACACAAAAAGATGATTAGGTGAAATGAGGAATAAAATAGGGAGCAGCTCAGGAAAAGCAAAGCTAGAAAAACGCTGCACAGATTACAAATTACACAGCAGAAGGATGTGGACAGAGCCACAGTGGCTCTATTCGTAAAAATATTCATTGAACGGGTAGAGAGATGGGGAATCAAGAACGCACCTGATCTCCCTGTTCCCAAACTCTGTGTGTTCACTCAGAGGTACAAATAAAGTTGGTGCATTGGCTCTGTACCCATATAATCAGTAACTCTGCTTTTTGCAAAGCCAATTGCACAGAAAGGGCCTTCAGATGAATGCTTGGAGTGCCTTCGATACTGTTCACAGAGTATGCAAAAAGAACTAAGAAATGCGAACAGCTTATGTGTTTATAAAGAGAACCCTCAATAAAAAGGTGAACATGAAACCCCTCAAAGAAGAGAAGCAAAAGGTTAGAGACCTCGCCGACAAGCTAATGCTAGCACCAGTGTGTGTGACATTTGTATCGCTGGAGAGAAAATGGTGTAGCGCATGGGTAGGCAAACTAAGACCCGGGGGCCGGATCCGTACCAACCGCCTTCTAAATCCGGCCCGCAGCGTGTTTTTACATGAGTAAAATGTGTCCTTTTGTTTAAAATGCATCTCTGGGTTATTTGTGGGGCATAAGAATTCGTTCATTTTCCCCCCTTCAAAATATAGTCCGGCCCCCCACAAGGTCTGAGCGACGGTGGACCGGCCCCCTGCTGAAGAAGTTTGCTGACCACTGGTGTATTGCCTAAAATGCAGAAGACAACTTATCTTCTATAAGCAAGAGGGAGAATGTTCTCTTTTTTTACCTCCCTAGAAAATAAACATGCATAGGGGCTGGCCAGGGATGGGGTGAATGTGTCAGATTATCAAGTCACTTGGCCAAAAATATCCTGCTCCCACTGACTTATTATAGGACTGGTTTATAAAACAGGGAAATTGTGTCCTTACCTCTTTCTTTCTTTCTTTCTTTCTTTGTCTGTATTTCTCTTCTATTCTTTCTCTCTGAAAGATGAGTTCCTCGCCAGGTGTTAACGCAATGAAGAACTGAAGGAAGAAGGGGGGAAAACCCTCCCTCTTACTCTCAAAATACTGAAAAAAGCCAGTACAGTTCAGAAAGCCACTCAGCATTTCTGGTTTCTCCATCCCCTCCCTTCCCTTTGCACCGGAAAACAACAAAAGGGGGGGGGGCAGCTGGTTCTGGGTTGGACTTCAGAGACTTTCAAGAGACCCGCATTTGGGGTCATTTGGGGCACTCTGTGGGAATCAAGTTGCTTTTGGTGTTAGTTAGAAAACTACAGGCAGAAGTTATAATGAATCTTTCTAATGGATTTCTAGTTTCTCAGTTTAATTTTCAACGCATGTCAGCTTGCTTTCTCTCTCGGACTGGCCAGAAATCACTGTGAAAGAATTAAATAATCTATTTCCTCCAACTGACTTCCTTCATCCTCTACATGGTTCTCTTTTTATTTTTGGTAAACTGTCTCCTTCTTGGACGAAAAGAACTGAAATATGGTGTATATATACATACACACACATACACACACACAAACACATACACACACATATATGGTTGACTATCTGTTTTGTAGATGTTTCCGTACGTTATTATGTATTATTTGTATTTCTTTGTTTTTCGTTTGTGTTTTTTTTTCCTTTTGATTGTGTATTATTATTTTCATGTGCAGTTTTACAAGTGTGTGTGTGTATGTGTCGTAAATGAACTCAATAAAAAGAAAGAAAGAATCTATTTCCTTATGCATCAACAAAAACACACAGATTCCATTCAAGTAGAGGGGTTTGCTGCATCTGTGAGGGGTGGGCCTCATTTTGTTTCTTTGGCCTTAAAAACTGAGTACCGTACTTTTTCGTAGTGGCGTCCAAACTTTTTTCAAAGAGGGCCAGATTTGATGAAGTGAAGGGCTGTGGGGGCCGACCAAAGGGCCAACCAAAGTTGTTGACATTTTTTAAGGATTGAAGTTGTTCAGCTTTTTTTATGATTTTACTCCAAAATTGTTGACATTTTTTAAGGACTGAAGTTGTTCAGCTTGTTTTAGGGTTGGAGTTGTTGAGGGTATTTTAAGATTTTACCCCAGGAAATAAACTGCCACAGGGGCTGGATTAAACCGACCGGCGGGCTGGATTAGGCCCCCAAAACGGACTTTGGACATGCCTGCGTGACTAAGGCTTCAGTGAGAAGACCAAGGAACTTACTTCCCTGAAAACTGCCATTTTTGCCAGTCTTTCAGAGGAGTAATCATGCCTCTTGCAGCAAAGCCAGCGAAGAGTCTTGTAGCACAATAATTTAGCAAATTAAAGAGCCCACTTTTTCAGATACATAAAGTGCCATCAGCACGTACAAGTAGGGCATGTTGTACAAGGGCATGGAGAAAAAAGCTGTAAACAGTGAGGCTAAATGGCCACGGAAGCTAAGAAATACAACATGTCTGTATCACTTTCATCATGCGGAACTTAAATGCACACAAGAGACGAAGTATGACCAATAACACATGCTAAGACTATGAGTGCCATTCAACTTTTTACTCAGAGGAGACCTATTGAAATGAATGAACATAAGTTAGGCCCATTAATTTCAATAGGTCCACATTTAAATTCCACCCAAACTATCTTGGGCCCCGTCTGCACTATAAAGCAGTATCACACCACTTTAAACCGTCATGGCTTCCCCTCAAGAAGAGTAGTTAAGGGAGCTGAGAGATGTTAGGAGACACCTATTTCCCTCACAGAGTTACCATTTCCAGAGTTACCTACAAAGAGGGTTTGACTGCTAAAAACCATTCTGAGAATTGCAGCTTTGTGAGGGAATTGTAGCTCCAATAGCTCCCAGGATTATTTGGGGAAAGCCATGGCGGTTTAAAGTGGTGTGACACTGCTTTAAATGTATTGTGCGGATGAGGCCTTAATCAGGCTCACGGACATCTAGATTGTTACAGATTTTGAATTACCGCAGTGTAGTCGGAAAGATTGTGTTTATCACCCGTGACTATGAAAGATCACTCTGTCATTGTACTGTTTACAGTTGGGCTTTGCATGGAAATTTCACAGAATTTCTTACATGTCAAGGGCCACACTGTTTATAGTCTCTTCCCTCCTGCCCCAAATTTTGTGAAGACTGCCATGAAAAGCTGATGCTGTCAGATTATCAAACTGAAAGCATCACCTCAGAGCTTCAAAATTCTCACTTTGAGTGTTCAGATGTCACATACAGGAGGGGGCAGGAGAGTCTTAGTCTCTTCTTGGACTGCCTTTCTTCGTCACAGCAGTACAACAAGCCATTTCACATCAAGAAAATGCCTTGGAGGCCCACAGGCGCCATGTTACTCTGAGGTTTCTCCTTCTTGCTCAACAAGCAGCAACCCTTGGCCATGGGTGTCAACGGATGAGGGCAGCAGCCTTGGGTGAACCATAAACTCCCGATCCCCAACTTTCATTTTTAAAAAAGACAATGTTTTCAGCATTTGTAGTACCCAGCATTTGAGATACAGTCATACCTCGGGTTAAATTTGCTTCAAGTTGAGCACGTTCGAGTTGCGCAACCCGGAAGTAACGGAGCATGTTACTTCCGGGTTTCGCCGCTTGCGCATGCGCAGACGCTCAAAATGACGTCACGCGCATGTGCAGAAGCAGCAAAAAGCGTCGTGCGCGTGCGCAGACGTGCTGTCACTAGATACGTTTACCTCTAGACGCGAACGGGGCTCCAGAATGGATCCCATTCATATCTAGAGGTACCACTATAATATGTGCAGCCACAATTTTCATTTCTTTTGTGAGAAACTTCAACGGCAGGCACATCCCTTGCCCCTCACGGCTAACCTCATTTAAAGGGGTGCAACCTTCCTCTATCCTTTCTCCACCTTTGCTGTCTTCAGACTCTGCCCCCCCCAAAAAATCTGCACCTTTTCCATTTTACTCCAAGCTTCCCAGCAGCACTACCAGAGGAGAGAGGGAGATTTAAATCTTCAACGAGCCAAATTACAGATAAACGTCTTACTGCATTTAATGACTTTCAAAACAATTTAGCAGAAATGCACCTCCCCCTCCCCACAGCCTCAAGATCACAACCATAGCAGGTAGTAGGAGAGAACCCTTTCTCCCCCGTCATGGCCCTGGCAAACCCCCCTCTATTGAAAATTGAAATATACTCGGAGTCGAGTGTGGATTTCATGCTCTTTATTCAGCTCATAGTAGCGAGGAATGCAAGTTCCCCCCAAATATCTGCTTTATATACATTATTTACACAATGGGCCGCACGTGATTGGCTAATTCCGGGGTTCTCCTGTAGGCCAATCAGGTTGCGGACTCACTTCCACCTGGAGCTGGATTGGGTGGCTCCTGCAGACTAATCATACTGCTGCATTCTGAATCCTATTGTTCTAGGACAAGTCAGACTGCTGCATTTTGGATCCTATTCAACTCAGTACATAACAAAAATATAGTTCACATTGACACAAAGGAGATTTCCTCCCAGTGCAAATAGCAGTCTTGTCTCCAACTCAAGCTCTTTCCTGAAGGTTGCTTGTGAATTGAACACTTAAATATTTGCATTCAAGACCACATGAGGCTTCATATCTGGTACAGAAGCCATGAGAATTCTCACCCATGTGCCATGGAAGGCTTTGGGCAGTCGCTCCCAACCTTTGGGGTTATCCCACAGGATCCACAAATAACGCTCCTCCATTACTGATTTCACACCTTCTGAACTGATTAATTGGGTTGATCAGTGGGTATACTGGAAAAATAAATAAATGTATGTTTATGAACAAATAAAGTTATATTTCATACCTTTTGGAATCAATAGCTTGGATTATTGATCAGTGGGTACAACTGAGGAAATAAATGAAGGATTTTTTGCTGCTTTATTTGGTTTTGGCACACTGGCAAATTTATACAAAAGCGTGACTGAGTTCCTAATAGATTATCATCAGTATGCATTTTCTCAGTTACCACAGCCTAAAATTGCAGCATTTAACATGTAGGTGTCCATGGGTTTTGGGGGGGTTAAAAGGGGGGGGCCCTTGTACTCATGAAAGTTGGAAACTACTGGTTTAGGGACAAGGCCTCAGGCACAACGTGAGACGACAGCCTCAGGTGGCAGGATCCACGGGAACAGCAGATTTTGATGTTGATCTTTATTCCCTCCTTGTTCCTGATATACATCTTCGCCCACCCTTTCTGTCCTGGCAGGGAATGGGGCATCATTTTGCCATTTGCATCAGGTGCCAAAATGTCTTGGGCCAGCCCTACTTAGGGAACACTCCAGTCAGGGCGCTAGATTATAACTTCCTTGTTTTTCTTAAACATGGCAGAGCAAGGAACGGAAAAATAACATTACAGAATTGTTGTTGTTTAGTCGTTTAGTCGTGTCTGCCTCTTCGTGACCCCATGGACCAGAGCACGCCAGGCCCTCCTGTCTTCCACTGCCTCCCACAGTTTGGTCAAACTCATGCTGGTAGCTTCAAGAACACTGTCCAACCATCTCGTCCTCTGTCGTCCCCTTCTCCTTGTGCCCTCCATCTTTCCCAACATCAGGGTCTTTTCCAGGGAGTCTTCTCTTCTCATTAAGTGGCCAAAGTACTGGAGCCTCAGCTTCATGATCTGTCCTTCCAGTGAGCACTCAGGGCTGGTTTCCTGAAGAATTGATAGGTTTGATCTTCTTGCATTCCATGGGACTCTCAAGAGTCTATTACAGTCTATTACAGAATAGACACAGAAAATATCAGACTCCACCCAGAAACAATTAAGTCCAGTGTCAAGTACTGACTAAACTATATAATAACACTGTATGGTAAAATTACCTTTTCCCCCTACGTTTTTGTCAGTAGCCTTTTATCTTGTTGTTCCTGTGGATTAAAATTTGGTAGTCATATGATGATTTTAGTAACACTTTTTTACATTGCCCTGGAAACTTCAAATGGAGGGTGTTTAAGACATATTATGAATACAAATAAAGTCATTAATTGGTACCTGTATGCCACTTTGTGAGTAATTTTTCTTTGAAAGAAGATTGTAAAGTTGTAGAATCAATAATAAAACACAATATGGCGATTGAGTCTTGATTGCCCATTCATTATCAAGCCACATCCAAGACTTTGCGTTAGCTGGCATGGCTCAAAGCGCCATCAAATTGTTCAGGATGCCAACATAAATATCTGTACCTCATGATGCTGAATTTCAGTGATTTGTCTTCTTTGGAGGAGTACGGTGGGGCTGCTGTGGTTTCTCACCCACACTTCGTTGGTTGCTTTCTATGAATCCCTGCCTAGGTAACCCAGAGGAAATCCAAAGCCCCCAGAAGCGACTGAGATTTCATTTCTCTGCCACCCACTCCTTCCTTGACAATGCTACTTCCACCCCATTCTATGGTGGGAGGGTTGGGCACCGCATTGGTTTACAGGTGAGGAGACAGAGTGGCATACATTGTGGGTAAGACAGCAAATACCACAAACGTCACAGCCATGTCTGAATTGATATGCAGCATAAGACACGTCTTTCATGTTTGTTGTAAGTCGCGGAGGCAGCCAAAACATGAAGCAAAGGAAGGCCGTCTCAGGCAGTGAGTTCTGAGTGCCATTGAGAATGCACAGAATGAGAGAGGCATGTCTGACAGACAGGGCACAATCCACCAGGAAGTTCTCCTGCACAAGTCCCTCATGTCTCTGTTCTGACCCCTCTCCTCAGACTGTCCCTTCTGAGTAAGAATCAGCCTCCTCCAGGCCTATAGTTAGCTAAGTAAAAACAAGATACTTAGCTACATGCACATATTAAGTGAACATCTATTTTGGCTCAGAGATTAGTTAAGGAAAAACAAGCTATGTGGCTGTATGCTATGTAATTAGGCAAATTATTTGTTTGGCCCTCTGTCTGATCTTTGGCTGAGTATTTTCTTCTTAGCCGTCCACCCACCTAAAATAAAATCAGCCCTAAAGTGGTACCACACTTTCATCTTCTTGTTAAAGAAGATTGACACCACAGTGGTGATATTCTTATAAAAGCTTGGGGAGATCAGGCAGCAACTATTAAACAACAGTAACGGTAAAGCAGTAACAATAAGAAAGTTGCTGATCTTGACCCTGTAGCGTAGCGTGGGGGGCACGGGTGGTTTCCCCGGGTGCAAAACTGTTAGGGGTGCAAACTTTCAACACCTGATGCTGCCTCAATACAGCTGCGCTCTTCCGCAGCTGGGCTCCATTGAAAATGGCTCCTGCATACAAACCAGGAAGTAACCTCTCCAGATGACGAAACGACTTCCTTTCTTATCTCTGTGGCTGAGATCTCCTGGTTGACTCAGACGCCATTAGGGAGTTGAATGCACATGTGTACTCCAAACATTTCCCTCCCACTACCCGCCTCTGCGCAGCCCTGGGCACAGGCAACCCACGCTGCGCCACTGCCTTGACCTTTGGTCCTGCTCTGGTCTGCCTCTTTGTGGTTCGAGGACCTGACTCCCGCTTGGAGGAATAAAGACACGTGGACACAGTATATAAGGTTAATGGGCAAGAAAAGGCCACAACTTTACTGATTACAGCAAGTGAGAAGGTATTGGCTTAGGCATTGGACCACGGAAGATTTCACTCCACCCACTCGAAGAGGGGTGAGCCTGAAGAGGAGTTAACCACCGGTAGGGGGAGCCTGTTGATGCTAATACAACTATAAGCTCTCCCCTGATGTCACCGAGGGTCGTGCCATGGCCCCCCGCCACACAGGCATCGGACAGGATTCACGACCGCCGGATTCCTTTAACGGAATACCCAAATTTGAAGGGGTAGGCGATGGCCACACCTTGCCCTTCCACACACCAACAACACATTCCAATGCCTAATCACCAAATACCAAGAAAGTTGTGACGATTGCTATGAGGTAGGCGGAAAAAACCAAAAGGCCGATTGCCAGTTGGAGAAAATTCCTACCAGGCCCCCTGGGCAACCTGGGCGACCAACCATAGGTCCATAGCAAGGTCAAGAGAAAAGCTAAGCCCTAAGCCCTAAGGGAGTGGTGGGTGGGTGACTCGCGATGAGAAGGTGAAAATGGATGGAATGGCTGGCATGGCTGTATCTTAAACAGCAAACCACGCGCCCCACCAAGCTGCCCGATTGGGTGCTCACCTGGGGGCATAGCGCGCCAGCCAGGTGAGTGGGGCAGGGGGCATAACGCCTCCTGCATGACGCGGGAATTGCCAACCGTTGGTGTCATTTGACTTCCTTCCTCCTGTCCGGGAGCAACGCAGACCCAATCGGTGAACCCCAATAAGGCTACAGTACCATGTTCCAACCAACTGAGCTATCTCTGGTTCATTTACCAGCAACTCCAAGGTAGGGATGGGGAAAGTCTCCCTTCTGAAGCTTTGGAGAGCTGTTGACAGTCAGTGTAGATAGTACTTAGTTAGATGACCCAATGGCCCAATTTTGTATAAGACAGCTTACTACATTTGGCTTCAAGAGACGCTTGAGCACAATGCTTCCTGTTAACCGCTGGAGGCTCGCTCCTTAATTGCCCAGTAGGAATGCCTGTAATTGAGGTTTCAGCTGCCCAGCAGAAAGAGCAAAATGCCCTATCACCAAAGAGCGTCTTGCTTCAGCATGTTGCCTATAATGTCTGCAGCTTCAAAGACAATAAGCTTTCTGCCTGAAGCCACAACACCTGACACTGGCGGCAGTTTGCAGAGAGAGCTTCAGCTGGCACACAGAGAACTGTAATGAAAAGCTTTGCAAATGAGGCTATTGCCCCACCTGTGACAAGACCGCTGGTGGGGAAAAACAACCCTTGCAGAAGGCAGACAAGATGCACGGCCAGACTCAAAAAGTCAGTACTGTATAAATGAGAACGGCCTCTTTGAGCACCTCCAGGCGGTTGTTGTTTTGGGGTGGGATTCAGCTGCATCACAGAAGATTCAGGCCGTGCAATTAAAGATTTTATTTATTTATTTTGTCAGCTGCCCCTTATCCAAAGAACACAACATAAAAATACAGTCAAACCTCGGTTCCCGAATGCCTCCATTTTGGAACACTTCGGCTCCCGAACGCCAAAAACTCAGAATTAAATGCTCTGGTTTTGAACATTTTTTTGGAAGCCGAACGTCCGACACGGCTTCCGCTTGAGTGCAGGAAGCTCTTGCAACTAATCGGAAGCCGTACCTCGGTTGTCAAACATTTCAGAAGCCAAACGGACTTCCAGAACGGATTATGTTCGACAACCGAGGTTTGACTGCACAAAATGAGAACATAAAATACATAAGAAAACAAAAGCAAACAAATAATTCCCCTTCCACAAACACGTTAAAAAGGCCATAGCATGATACTTAGTCAAACATCTCGTTACAGAGAAACGTTGAATGAATGCATCAGCCACCAGCCATAGCAATAAAACAACAAAATGTGGTATACAGAAAACAAAGGTAAAAAGTCAATAATATAAAATACGTTTTGGGGGTTTGGGTCAATAGTCAAATAATGGATCTTATTCTAATTGCCCCGGCTAAAAACCTTGCAACCTTTGCTGTCACCTGCATGATGGAGCCTACCTGGGGAGAGCATCCCACAAGCGAGGTTCCACTCCTCCCATCGTGAAGCAGCGGTAAGAGGAATCTGCAGCTTGAGTTGATCCAGTATCAAGCTGATAAAGAACATGAACCTCTGTCAGGAATAAGAATGTAAGGATTGCATTGCTGGATTAGACCAAGGTCCATAGCTTATCATCTTTTGTTTCTGACTAAGCCACGCAGTTGGCGCTGTGGTCTAAACCACTGAGCCTAGGACTTGCCGATCAGAAGGTCAGCGGTTCGAAACCCCACGACGGGGTGAGCTCCCATTGCTCAGTCCCAGCTCCTGCCAACCTAGCAGTTCGAAAGCACGTCAAAGTGCAAGTAGATAAATAGGTACCGCTCCTGCGGGAAAGTAAACGGTGTTTCTGTGCACTGCTCTGGTTTGCCAGAAGTGGCTTTGTCATGCTGGCCACATGACCCAGAAGCTGTACGCCAGCTCCCTCAGCCAGTAAAGTGAGATGAGCGTCGCAACCCCAGAGTCGTCCACCACTGGACTTAACGGTCAGGGGTCCCTTTACCTTTACCTAAGCCCCATAGAAACTCACAAGCAGGACACTAGACACAGCAGCTAGCTTCCCAGCAGCCTGTGAAGAGTCTTTGGAATTAGAGTGACATGATCCTGCCCTGCCTGCACCCAGTAACAGCAGAGCTGGAGCATTTTTCGAGGGAATTCTTGAAATGTCGTTTTGTGCTGCTTGTTTTGCAACTTTTTTCAACTGCTCCGGGAAAGTTGAGGGAGGTGATTTTGTGACCGACAGGCAGTACGATGTGAAACTCTTCTGAAAACCAAACAAAGATATTTTCCCTGAGTTTGAATCAAGAGGGAAGTCTGTATGAATGCTCAAAATGCAGTGAGAGCCCCTCCACAAAAGGCTCGTGGCTCCAATTATGCCTACCTGTGCATATACCTTGAGTACATTCTAACATTCCCCACAGAGACCTTGTTAAGATAAAAGGGGAAGATCCTATGTGTGCAATTTTTGGAAGAAAATAATGATATGTGATAGATAAATACTTTTTTTTAAAAAATGAAAGGTTTTATCATGTTTCCCTTTTTCACTGTATCTTTTGTGGTGTAGACTCTAGGTGGCAGTATGACCTTAGCAGAACTTTTATGGTGCTCAGAATCCATCAAAATTGCTCAGAAGTCACACACCAACACCTAAAACATGTGAAGTGTTTCTGCTGGTGTTACTATCAAACCAGGGTTTCGGTTATCAGCTGTGTGTCTGGGGTTAGGCCAATAATTTTCCAGCTGCTGTCTTACCTTCTGATTTTCCTTCTTCAGCCTTAAAAGGTAGGAAGGCTGCTAGGGTACCTATTAAGTAAATGGTCTCACTTAAGACAGCTAGAGAAAGAGAGGGGACTTGGGCCTGAGGCCAAACTAGATATGCAGAAGACACATTAACCATTTCCAAATATATGTACTGTATGTATATGTATCAATCAATCAATCAATCAATCAATCAATCAATCAAAAAGATGGCCAGTTTGAGCAGAGTGGAAATGGAGCAGCTGTTTAAAACTTTGCCTTTCTGATTATTTTTTTCTGGCTCAGATTATGTTCTTCAAACTTAGAAGCATAGAATTATAGAATTGGAAGGGACCCCAAGGGACATCTAGTCCAACCCCCTGCAATGCAGGATCCTGCCCACAGCCGTCCCTGGGTGGGCTTGAACCACCAACCTTGAGCTTGAAGGACATAATATGAAGCTTTCTATCCATCCCCATGCCTTGCCCCCGTGGCTGAGGGGGCCGGGCCATGCAATGTCATTCCGCCCACTATGTTCAATACTCCCTATGCTGATAAGATGACAGGCTTATTAGTTGAGAGCTGAGTGCAAGTCATCACCCAGCAGCTTCAGCACATGCCCATTTATTTATAGCATCTTTCACTGTCCACCCAGTGAATTATGGATATCATTACAGTAGGGGAGCTGTGTTAGTTTTTATTAATAAGCTTATTAAAAGAAGCCAGTTGCACCTCTAAGGCTAACTGAAATTACTTTATTGAAAGAGCATGAGCTTTTGTAGGCAATTACTTCAGCAAATGGAACTATGAGCTGCAAGGCAGGGAATAATAATATAACACTTAGGACTGATACAATTTTACTGAGGTTTTATTGAACCGAAGACATACCAAATTATAGCTTAGGCTGCAATCTTTACCAGAGTTCGCAAGAAGCAGGCCCAGAAGAATTCAACAGAATTTTCTTCTGATGAGACATAGTTCGGATTGTGTTGCTAGTCTTGTTGCCGTGTTGCTACACCTGATTTTAATTGATGTAACGTTTACATGCAGTCTTCCTCAATTTCTAAGGAAGTAGTTAGAGACATTTCAGGAAATTCCAGGTACCAAACATGCTTCTCTTTGCTTTTAGGTTGTGAGAAAAACTATACAGTGGTACCTCGGGTTACATACGCTTCAGGTTACAGACTCCGCTAACCCAGAAATACAGTGGTGCCCCGCAAGACGAATGCCTCGCAAGACGAAAAACTCGCTAGACGAAAGGGTTTTCCGTTTTTTGAGTCGTTCTGCAAGACGAAATTCCCTATGGGCTTGCTTCGCAAGACAAAACGTCTTGCAAGTTCTTGCGAGTTTGTTTCCTTTTTCTTAAAGCCGCTAAGCCGCTAAGCCGTTAATAGCCGCTAAGCCGCTAAGCCGTTAATAGCCGCTAAGCCGCTAATAGCTGTGCTTCGCAAGACGAAAAAACCGCAAGACGAAGAGACTCGCGGAACGGATTAATTTCGTCTTGCGAGGCACCACTGTAGTGCTTCAGGTTAAGAACTTTGCTTCAGGATAAAAACAGAAATCGGGCTCCGGCGACGCGGCAGCAGCAGGAGGCCCCATTAGCTAAAGTGGTGCTTCAGATTAAGAACAGTTTCAGGTTAAGAATGACCCTCCGGAACGAATTAAGTACTTAACCCGAGGTACCACTGTACTCCCTTTTTTGGCTTTGAATGATGTAGATAAATATTTTAATTCAAAAATTATGGGGAGGAATCCAGTGTTGATCTACATCGCCATGTCAAACATTCCATCAGTTAGCTGTCATTCATCTGTCTTGGGAGATGATGGAGGAATGTGCCTTTGGGGGTGAAGTCAAACCATTGGAAAGTTACAGGGCCTGCTGTGGCTACAGAGACCAATACGGGAGAGACATGTTTTATTGCAGGTGGGGCAGATGGAGGTGTCTGGTTGTGCAGATGCAACATGGCCTCTCTTCTCTCTGCACTCCTCCCAGCGGTCATTCCTTCTCTGGTCGTGAACCAACTGTCTTTCTCCAGGCACTGTGGTCATCTGCAAGGGATTCCCACATAGCAGGGTTGATGTTGCCAGTCTTTGTGTCTCATTTGCAGACATCTTTGTAACACGTGGGGCTACCTTTGAAGGTGACCCGGAAACTGCAGTTAATCCAGAATGCGGCAGCTAGACTGGTGACTGGGAGCAGCCGCCAGGACCACATAACACTGGTCCTGAGAAATCTGCATTGGCTCCCAGTACGTTTCCGAGCACAATTCAAAGTGTTGGTGCTGACCTTTCAAGCCCTAAATGGCCTCGGTCCTGCATACCTGAAGGAGCATCTCCACCCCCATCGTTCTGCCCGGACACTGAGGTCCAGCACCAAGGGTCTTCTGGCGGTTCCCTCATTGCGAGAAGTGAGGTTATAGGGAACCAGATAGAGGGCCTTCTTGGTGGTGGCACCCACCCTGTCGAATGCCCTCCCTTCAGATGTGAAGGAAATAAGCAGCTATCCTCTCTTTAAAAGACATCTGAAGGCAGCCCTGTTTAGGGAAGTTTTTAATATTTAATGCTGTATTGTTTTTAACACTTGACTGGAAGCCGCCCAGAGTGGCTGGGGAAACTCAGCCAGATGGGCGGGGTATAAATAAATTATTATTATTATTATTACACAGAGTTGGTCTGCCCACGGGCCTGGTGCCTGAGCCCAGCTCCCCATAGAGCACATCCTTGGGGATCCTGCCATCTTCCATTCTTTTCACATGACCAAGCCATCACAAAGTGGCCATCCTTGAACACATGGATGTCAAAGAGAGATTGCAACATAAAACTGCTGAATTACACTTGATCAAGAAGGTCAATACCACCTCCTGTTGCTTAAATTAGGACAAGCGTTTTGTTTTTGTTTTCATCACACTACTTGTGTTAAGTAGTTGACCAATGCCATGATCTCTGTGTAATAACCAATAGCTGTTTTTTGAATGGTCGTTGTTAATAACAGAATTATCACTGTCTGTAATTTCTGCATTTCATTTCCCTCTGAACTTTCCCCATGACCCCCATGTGTGTATGTGGGTGTTGGCCTCTAGACTTTTTGTTGACAATTTGTCATATTGACATGTCACACAAACTGATATCATACTTAGCAAGAAATCATGGGAGTCTGCGGCTATCTGTGAACATTTGGATGGATCTCTGTGTAGCATGCCTTTAGTTAAAATAGCAGTGAAAAGTTAAAACAGGCAAAACAAAAACAAAGTCACGTAGGGAGGGAAAATGGATTTAAAAGTCAGTGTCTTCCTTTGAAGATGGAGAGGCCAGACATTTGAGATCATTTTATTGCCCCCTTTCTCATGGTGAAATCTCCTGTGCTGAGACCAGGAATGATGTCAGTTTTGACAACATAGCTTGCTGTCAGCTTAAGGAAAGCTGCTACTAAAAGAAGTGTACACATGTATATAATGGGGAAGCAATGTATTAAGGCAGAGGTGTTACAGCAAAAATGCAGCAGTTTCTGCTCCCACCCCCAAGAACAGGAGTTGTGATCTTGTGGAGGTTTTCTGTTCCCATGTTATGCTGCTCATGCAAATAAGCCACTTAGGAACAGCTATTTCCACTCATTCCCTTAAGGGCAGGTTTACACTGTAATTTTAAACCAATTTTAAACCTTTTAATTATGTAGGAAATAGATTGAGGATTAAATGTGTATCTGAACCTCCTATCCTACACATGTGGGAGAAACGCAAAAGAAATCTAGCTTTGGAGCTTTCTTAGTAGAGTAAAAACACCTTTTTTTGCAGCTTATTAAAGCTTAGGGATTAGGCAATTACACCTTTCTATCATTTTCACTTGTCTGCCTATCTTCCCCTTCTCCACCCCCGTTGCAGAGAACGAACCACATGTTTTTAGTAAGATTAACTGAAAAAACGATTTACTTACATTTCAATGTGGGCAGCAAATATAGCAAAGTGGTATGCAGAAAAATATTTCTAAGTTACAGTAAAATAAAAGTTGGTAGTCTTGGCTAACATGACTGAAAGTAGGAGCTTTAGCTATGGGTGTCTGGTCAGCTTGAAGGCATGGTGGAAAGAGAGAATTTCCTGACAGGCAGACGGAAATATCAAGGGTCCCTTTGTTACAAAGGGCATTGTTACATAGGACATAGTACATTGCCTCCAGAGGAGGCAAAGGAAGTGGCCATACACAGAGGGTCCTTTGTAGGAAGCTCAAGAACTGTCTGTGCACTAGCCCTGTGCTTGTCTAGCAAAACATGCATTTGTGATTTTGGCTCCAAACCCCACCTTAGTGTTATTAATGTTTTTTATGATATACCCTGGGACCATTAAGGTATGTGCGGTACTCATTAGAAGCTTAAAACACAGTGAGGTCACTGAATGCATTTCAAATTGCACATGCACTTGCTGGACATACCAAAATGGTTGCAGGTGTTAGAATTCCTGCTCCATGATAGCAGTCATGGGATTCTTGTCTATCACATGACGGTGTATGTTTTGACTCCACAAAGTGGGAAGTGACGGGGATAGGATGTTTGTGTTACTGTGTTCCGTGAAGTGGGACTATTGTCCTTTGTTCTTTTTCCCTTTGCTGTCTGATGCTAGAGAGAGAGGGAGCCATGTTGCAGTGCTCCGTGTGTGTTTATATGTAAATAAAGTAGATTAGCCAAAATGCTGAGTTGCTGAGGTCTGTCACGCATGATGCGCAAACTCTGCGGATCCCTAAGTGTGCCGGTGTCGGTTGGCATTGGTCGCTGTGATGTTTGGGCTGAAGAAAGCTTTTGAAGCTACCGAACGAAAGCACAAGAGGGAGAGAACATGCCAGTCGGGCATGTGTCTCTGCCAGGGTCCTACTCGAGTGCAGGGTGAACTCCTGACAGCAGGGTGTCTTCACTTGATGCACATTACCCGATTTTATCCCCTATGCCTGCCTGTACAAACCCTATTCAAGGAACCTGTCCTCTGCACATGCACAACAATGTTCTGACCTGTACACAACCTAGCTTAACTGCAGCTTGCATTTCAAGTAGGAGGGAAGCTGGTTTGAGGGAAAACGCATAAAACAGGAATATTTTTCAAGAAGCTATAGATACAGGGGGATTGTGGCCAATGCCATGTGCACTTGGCTTCAAACACCATTGGTGGGAGTGCACTGGAGCCAGAATAGAGAGTATGCAGCCTTAGTGAAGAGGGGATTTATAAACTGAAATTATCAACCAGTCCTGCCAGTGGCATTAATTTTTCAGACGGGCTATACATCTCTAAGGAAGAAACCTCAGCACACTCATAAAAGTACTATTTCCCCTAGTTTTGTCATTTAAGCTGGTTTCAAACTGGTTTAGAATCTGTAGATAAGTCTTGAAACCACTGGCCTTCTGTTGAGAGTTCTTCTTTTAAAGTACTTGTAATTATACATAAGGTAAAGGTACCCCTGCCCGTACGGGCCAGTCTTGACAGACTCTAGGGTTGTGCGCTCATCTCACTCTAGAGGCCGGGAGCCAGCGCTGTCCGCAGACACTTCCGGGTCACGTGGCCAGCGTGACGAAGCTGCTCTGGCGAACCGGCACCAGAGCAGCACACGGAACGCCGTTTACCTTCCCGCTATAAAGCGGTACCTATTTATCTACTTGCACTTAAGGGTGCTTTCGAACTGCTAGGTGGGCAGGAGCTGGGACCGAACGACGGGAGCTCATCCCACCGCGGGGATTCGAACCGCCGACCATGCGATCTGCAAGTCCTAGGCGCTGAGGTTTTACCCACAGCGCCACCCGCGTCCCTTTGTAATTATACATATCTGGGATTACATCCTGTTTATGACAATTCTGCAATGCTTAGACACAGAAATTAGGGGCATTGCATCCCCCTGGGAGATCACCTGCGGGCATTCAGCAATAAGGGAATGAAAGGAGAAAGAAAATATAGATAGTGAAGGTAGCGGAAAGAAATTCCATCTTGCAGCAGTCATAGAGACACCCAGAGGCCAAACACTTGGGTTATTTTCTTTTTTTAATCTTTTTTGCACGAAAAGAACATATGCAACATGCTTACAAGCCGCAAGGGCTGGCTAATAAAAGTATCTCAATGCAGACATGCCATCATTGCAAAGATGAAAATATTATTCAGTAACAAGCAAAAGGGGTATAATATCTAGAGTCAAGAGAGTCTCCTAGCCTCTCCAGTCATGCTGCTAGCCATTCAGTCTTTCGCCCCTTTTTTTCAAAATATGCCAAAGAGGGTCAAGAAGACACAACACAAGCAAGCAGAAACACTTTAATACACATAGGGTCCTGTCATCTCCCAAAGTGATGTCCTTAAGAACCTCATAATCCCTCGTGTGCCCCCCCACCTCCAGCCATATAATCTAGTATCTGGCTGAAGCTAAGCTTTTGATCTATGTCACACAAACGATTTGGCTTTGCCCTTCATGGAATCCTTTCCAACTTCTGGGCCCCCATGAACCCAGCACCCAACCGACCACCTGTGCCACCCACAGCAGAACATGCAGGGATCCATATATATATATATGCAGGCCAGCTGATGCCCCGTGCAAAGGTTTGTGGAGCAGGCCACTAACAGGCGAAAGGGGAATAGAGCAAAACTCTCCTGCCCCTTCCTAAACCCACCAATAGGTGAAAGCTATGTTATAAGAATTCTAAGGTCTCAAATATAGAACAAACGTACAGGGCAAAAACATACATAAGTAGATAAACCACATGTCTGAAATAGAACAGGAGAGCAATCCTGAAGCCATTTTGACTCTCCCAAATTGACCTCAAATATTTCCCTGCAAGGAGGAAGGAAATGGAAAAAGCTTTCCAATTGTCACTGGACTGTAGGGAGCTACACATCCCTGGAAATACAGTCTGGCAAGTATCTGTTAAGCTGAGCGGAACTATCAATATGTGTAAGAGATTCAGAAACTACCATATCAAAGGAATGGCTGAGCTACCCGGAAAAGGCATTATCAGGTATCCTGGCAGACAGGAGAGAAGCAACACTCTCAAATTTCTGTGGGAGACCACCTCCTTCTATGATGTAGGTATGTTGGGTTTTTTGGGGGGGTCTTGGGTTACAGGGGGGTCAATTTCAAAAGTCTTTATATGGGCTTCCCACCACTACTGGGGTCTCTCCTACCTCCTTGCAAGGAGGGGAGGGGACTCTGTTAAACAGAAAAATAAAGATCTGCCTTGCTTTCTATGGATCTTGCCTCCATCCTTTCATCTCTGATTGATCATGGACTTAGGGGACTCAGTCCCTTGGGGAGCTGGGCAGCAAAAGCCAAACCCCCTTTTTTTTCTGTAACAGCTACACACAGGGAGGGCAGCCCTTCTCATATCAGGTTGGCGGGACAACACAAATGGGGTGTGTGTGCATGGAATCACCCTTGAAAAGTCCATATGCATCTTCTTGCCTTGTCTGGTATAGGAAGGAAGGCATGTTCCACGGGGGAGCATTAAATCCCCCTTCCGAGTGTTTTACCTCATAGCTTGAGAACACCTGGGGTGAGCAAGCACTTGGCTGTCCCTATAAGCAGTCTTCACTTGATAGGACCATCAGGCTATCCTTGGGAGTTGCCCTGTAAGCAGCCTTCTTGCTTCTTTTAAATCTGCAGGCCCTTCTCCTCCTGGCCTTCATCCTTTACTTCTTTCCCCGGCAAAGCGGAAGCTAGCATCAGATCCAATGCTGGGAAGTTTCGGGAGCGTGTCTAAAAGGGGGGAGGGAAAGTAGTTGGCAATGGAGTTACTTCCTGTCTATTTCAATATCAAAAGGTTTCACGTCCCATCAGCTGTACAGCAGCAGAGCTTTTTGGAGGGGCGAAAGTCCATCAGAAAAGCAAGCTCAACTGTTCATCATTTCACAATGTCCTGGTGAAGGCCTTTCCTTTCCCAGAGCCAGAGATAAAATGGTTGTTTCTGGGCTGTGAGATTTTCATGCTACCCTGCCATTGATCCATAGCTGTTAACTTACAGATTTGAAAATAAGGGACCAGCAGCCTCGAAAATAAGGGATCAGCAGCCAAAATAAGGGATTTTCCAGGCACAGGTATGTTCAACTTCTGAGCCCCTCCGAGCCAAAGGCAGAAAGCCCAGCCAGCAGCCAAATGAAGCCTCATCAATAAGGGACAGCAGTGGGACATGGCACTGGGATAAGGGACTGTCCCGCCAAATAAGGGACACTTGACAGCTATGCATTGATCTCAGGCAGAATTGCACCTGACTTTCTACAGGCCTTGCACTTTTTCTGTGTGTATGTTCTGTTTTGTTCCATCGACATTAGTGCATGTGACTTAGGCCTTCTACATACATGAATTGCATGAAGGGGTATCATGCAATTATCAGGAACACTTAAACATGTTTGTCTGTTTTCCAGAGAACTGAAGGCTGCTTGCAAAATAGTGCATAAACAGACAAACAAACAATGTCTCATCTGTCCTCAGCCTTTTTTTTTTAAACTTAACATTTTAAAAGGTGCATGGAATTTGAATGAGGAGAGTTATGTTACCCATCTCTAATGACATGATAGGCAATAACAGACAGATGCTATTGATTAACATTTGTGTGGCTTTGATCAGAACTGCTGCAGGGGCAAAGGCTTACTCTCTGTCCGCCACACCATGGGTCAGATCCTGCTTCTTCCCTGCATCGGATATTGGTTAAAGAAAAATCAATGACCACAACAGCAAGCTACGTGGCAAACCTCATGTCTCGCTGTAGCAGCATTTCACACTTCTCCCTGCCCTTATGCCAGAGCAATGCTTTTCAAAGGGTTTTTGACATCTGTTTTCATTAAAACGATAAACAACACAACTGTGGGTATCTAGAAAAGATTTTAAATGGTGCAGTGTTAACCCCTCACCAACACTGCCCTGTGATCTAAAAACCATTTTCTTACTTTTAAAACTATTTTGCAGTAGATGTGTTGTTAGTTTCTTTGGGGCATCCTTTTGTTTGTGAAAAGTGATGGCTGAATAAATACCGTATTTTTTGCTCTATAAGACTCACTTTTTCCCTCCTAAAAAGGGGAAATGTGTGTGCGTCTTATGGAGCGAATGCAGGCTGCGCAGCTATCCCAGAAGCCAGAACAGCAAGAGGGATTGCTGCTTTCACTGCACAGCGATCCTTCTTGCTGTTCTGGCTTCTGAGATTCAGAATATTTTTTTCTAGTTTTCCTCCTCCAAAAACTAGGTGCGTCTTGTGGTCTGGTGCGTCCTATAGAGAGAAAAATACGGTAACTAGCATTCCTGGGCTGGTTCGTATTGCAACTTTAGCTGTTTAGGGAGGGCATGGCTTTGAAAATGTTACATCTGTCTCAAGTCTCATCAGGAGGAAAGGTCTGTTGGCACTGCTGGACGTTCAGCAATGACAGAGCGTAAAATTCTCTTTTGGGTCCCCACCCCACTCAAGCCTTGCTAGAATAAAATAAAACCAAACGCCCAGAGGAGCAGAGCAGGTGAGAACAGAAAGCAGATGGAGTGACTTACTCTTTGTTTCAGGCAGGTCAAAGCAAGGATGGAGACTAGAATAACAAGGAAGGCTATCAGCCCCAGAGTGATCTTCTCAGCTGCTCTGGGCTGCACAAGGGCGATCCGGGCACCTGCAAGGCAAGACTGCAATTAAATAATCTGGAGAGGATCAAAAGGACCAGAAAGCATCAAAACTTGGGGTTCACTTAGTTGCTGGAAACAGACAATTTTTTTTTAAAAGAAGATGGAGGTGGAACAGAAGACCCTTTGTTTAACAGAGGGTACCTGCTTGTTTTTTTCTATCCAGCTATTGTCTCTGAGCAGAGGTTTTCAGAGGAATTTGAAGAACCATGAAAGCCTATTCATCAGAGGCAATAGTTGGATAATGAATATGTTCAGCAATGGTGGCTGGGGAAAAACTAACAGGAGATGGAGACTGAAGACTGGTTGTCGGTGGCTGCACCACATTCTGTTCTGGAATCAATGGAGACAGACTACTTGGTTTTTTCCTGCGTAGTCCACACATAGTCTTGATCAATTACATATAGATCCTATATATGTAGAATGCGGGTGGTGCTGTGGTCTAAACCACTGAGCCTCTTGGGCTTGCCGATCAGAAGGTTGGCAGTTCGAATCCCTGTGACAGAGTGAGCTCCCGTTGCTCTGTCCCAGCTCCTGCCAACCTAGCAGTTTGAAAGCATGCCAGTGCAAGTAGATAAATAGGTACCACTGTGGCGGAAAGGTAAACGGCGTTTCCATGCGCTCTGGTTTCTGTCACTGTGTCCTGTTGCGCCAGAAGCGCTGGCCACATGACCTGGAAAGCTGTCTGTGGACAAACACCGACTCCTTTGGCCTGAAAGCGAGATGATCGCCGCAACCCCATAGTTACCTTTGACTGGACTTAACCTACCTAGATCCTATATCATTTTCAGGCTGCTTTTATGGAGTTGCTGGGTTTAGCTTCTTTTTATGAGCACGTTATTTTATTGTCTTTAAAACAGTTTACTATAAGCTGCCCTGTTAATGTGATCGGAGTACAGTGGTACCTTGGGTTACATACGCTTCAGGTTACATACGCTTCAGGTTACAGGCTCCGCTAACCTAGAAACTGTGCTTCAGGTTAAGAACTTTGCTTCAGGATAAGAACAGAAATCGTGCTCCAGCAGCGCGGCAGCAGCAGGAGGCCCCATTAGCTAAAGTGGTGCTTCAGGTTAAGAACAGTTTCAGGCTAAGTACAGACCTCCGGAACGAATTAAGTACTTAACCCGAGATACCACTGTACAGGGTACAAATTTCAGCAATGACAAATGAAAGAATTAATAGCGTATAAGCAAATTAATAATGTACCTTCAATTTCAAGGTGGTACTGCACCGATCCTGACATCCCATCTGGGCCATGGACACTGCATTCCCAGGTACCTGTATCATTGGGCAACACCTGAGGAAACTCCAGGGTCGAGCCTTGGCTTAGGAGCCCAAAACTCGTGGAGGCAGCCTCAGGCCAAGACATGTTTGTGGGATTCAAACCGAGGTACTTCCACGTAAAAAGCTCCTTTCCTGTGTGGTAGCTGAGATTGCAGGTGAGTTGCAGGCGAGATCCCTCCGTGATGATCCCCTCAGTGCTCGGGGTGACTGAATGGAAAGAAAGAAACAGAAGCTACTCATTTCTCTATCCTCTATCACTTGCCTCTCTCATATCCTCCCTTGAGTCTATTCCTGGCCCCATTTGTTACACATGACATCTCTTACTTCTAGGGCTGTCAAATCAGTTTTCACCTGGCGAATCACCTGACTTTTAACCAATTAACTGATGAACATGAATCTAAATCATTTTTTCATGACCCCCAAAACCTCGCTGCCGATGCATTTTGGAAATGTGGAGGGGAAAGCAAAGCAAAAGGGAAGGTGAGTTTATTTCACCAAAGCTCTCCCTAGTTATTAGAAGTACAGTAAATGCCATTTAAAATGTTTTCTTTCCTATTCTGTGTTGTTGCAACATGCCAAAATCAAAACAACATCAGAAACCACACAAGCCTGCCCTCAACTTGCAGAATTCCTGACATTACAGCCGCTGCCACTCTGGATTCACCTACCAGAGCTTTGGTTGATTAATCTAGACTGAATGGCTATGATTTGAATGACATCTAGATGGGTTTCCTGCAATAAGAACATCATGGGATAACCTTTGAAGCCGCCTTGTCAGAAAGGACAAGCACACTCCCCAGACAAGGAGATCACCCCTCACTTGCCTTCTCCACCCCAACCCATTGCTGGACTCCGCTGTCATTTTTCTTTCAGAGATCTTAACATGTAGGACACAACTCGCCAACCTAGAAATCTACTTGGCTCTTTCTGTGTCTCCCTCTCCTCACAAAATAAAGAAATACAGTGGTACCTCGGGTTAAGAACTTAATTCGTTCCAGAGGTCCGTTCTTAACCTGAAACTGTTCTTAACCTGAAGCACCACTTTGGCTAATGGGGCCTCCTGCTGCTGCTGCTGCACGATTTCTGTTCTCATCCTGAAGCAAAGTTCTTAACCCGAGGTACTATTTCTGGGTTAGTGGAGTCTGTAACCTGAAGCGTATGTAACCTGAAGCGTATGTAACCCGAGGTACCACTGTAAATAAATTCTGGTTCCGCCCCCGCTCCTCACCTGTCATTACTGCCAGTGTGATGTTCTTCGTGATGTTTGTTCCTTGAATGGCGATCTCACAGGTGTACCAACCTGCATCATCAAGACCCACCGCAGGAAGATGGAGGGTAAAATTTCTGTTGCTTCCATTACTGAGGGTGGTTATTGCCTTTGGTTCTCTCCTTGCTGCGTAGCTCCAGCGTGCTGCCACCCTAGAAATGCCGTAGTCCGTGGGATTGTCGTTCAGGAAGCAGGGCAGGTGGGCATCAGATCCTGCCGCAGCATAGACTACAGATACGGCTGGCTCAGCAAATCCTGGGTTGGGGGGGGGGGAGACATGCTATTGTGTGAATCAGGCCCAGAGAGGCGGGGGCATATGGGCCACTTGGCCCAGGCCTCCAATTCCAAAGGGGGCCTCAGTCAGCATATTTATCTATATTTTCCATTTTGTCTTTATATGCAGATACGGTTCAAGCCTTGAAATAAAATTATTTGTCAGCATAACTTTTGTGAAAATTATTTCTATACTTATTTATAAGACTTCAGTTATCCCCAGGGTAAAAAAAAGAGGGGGCACATTATCTACCTGGCCAGGGCCTCTGCCTGGCTCTGCGAATCCCACAAAATACACCAGGGACGGCAGGAATTTAGAATGGAAATGTGTTCTGATTCTTAAGAGAATATATATTTATTGTATTTTTTATCCTCAGAGGAAGCACTCTATGGTTGGGGAAACAGGAAAAGCAAAAGGCAAATCTTACCTATGACTTTCAGGTTGTATGTGGCATAAATTCTCTCCCCATCTGCAAAGGTGAGTTCACAGACCCAGGGCCCAGAATCACTCCTGAATGATCTGGAGATAACCAGAGTCTGGTTCAGGGAACAGAACCAACCAGAGCTGGCGATGAGCAGACCTGCATGGAACCAGCGTATCTCTTGGGGGGTTTCTGGATGTGTGGAGTTGCAGGTTAACTGGATAGGTTCAGACTCAATCAGGGGACCGGGAGAATCAGGAGTCACTGAAGGAAAAGGAGAATCACACACTGATGTCCATATCACAAGTATGACTTTCATCATATAGCTAACATCTCCATCTGTTCCTTTCTGGAGAAAGCAGTCAAGTCCAAGGGGCATAGCGGATGAAATGGTGCCATCACCTTTTCTTTGCAAGAGGGGTGAATTCTGCCTCATTCACATATCAAGTGAGGATTGGTGAGGGGAGTCAAACCATTCTGCAAGGGCATTATTAAGGGGTAGCTGACAGGGCCTGACCCAGCTCCAGGTCTCTTGTCACCTCCCTCTATTTTTAGAGACTTGAACAACAACAGATATTTGGTTTCAGGTAGGGATGGAACAGTTGTTAGATTCAGTTTGCATTCAAAGGTGAATTTATAAAAACCAACATTTTCCAAAATAATATGAGAACCGAAACACAGCCATCCTTTGAAGTTTGCCCTTATCTGAATTTTGTCAAACAGTGTTTGCAAAATTCATTCTGTTAGGGGAAAGTTTGCATACAAATTAGTGAAGAAGACGTGCAAAAATGCATTCATCTGTCAAAACTGCATGCAAAAAAAGACTTTTATTGGGAGAAACTCCCATGAAAATGCCAGTGGATTTCCATGAGGATTTTTTTTTAATGCAAATCGCTGCAAAAAGGTAGAGAATTGAATCTAAGATTTGAAAATGAGAATCCAAGAGGACTGAAATTGACAGATCCTTCCATCCCTTACTTACCAGCATGGGTAAGTGTAGTGCCAGTGACACTTGAGCCATCCACCATCTTAATTTGCCCAGAACCACCTGCCAATTTATGCCAACTTGCCTCACAGGCCTGCACCGCAAGTGTAGCAACGCCCCTGCCATTCCCTCCCCTCTTTACACTCCATCTCTTGAAGAACTTTTCTCCCAGCCCACCTCCAAGGCTGGAAGTGAGTAGGGCTTAGAAAAATGGCTTAAAGCTACTGAGGGAAGGGTTTGGCTACCCTCGCCCATGCTCTCCCTTCCACGTTCCAAAGTAGCTCTTCAGATAGCTTGCTTGACAGAACCTGGCTACTGTCTTTCCTGCAGCTGCTGCCAGCTGTCAGATTCACCTACCTGACACCACGCCAAGCTCCACCTGGCAACGCAACACCTCTTTGGCAAACTTCACCACAGCCACGTAGGTTCCTGCGTCCTCTTTCCGCAGCGGCTCAATCCTGAGCGAAAAATTCCCACGGATGAAGCCAGGGTCCCAGACGGTTGCTCGGTGCATCGTGGAACGGGCCATTTTCTTGACGCCGCTTGGCTCCACCATGAGCACCAAGTGGCGTTTCCTGTGGGAGCTGAGGAAAATGGAGGAGGAAACGCAACTGTTAAGTGCTGGACGAGTGGGGCGGTAGCCCAGAAAGGGGATACAGGAGAGAGGTGGGGGTAGGTGGAATGAAGGGAGTTGAGGGGAAGGAAGAGAAAGTGGTAAATAAAAGTATCGCGTTTTTCGCTCTATAGGACGCACTTTTCCCCCTCCAAAAATGAAGGGGAAATGTGTGTGCGTTCTATGGAGCGAATGCAGGCTCCTTGGCTTCAGCGATAGCAACGCGAAACCTCCGAAGCGCAGAGGGAGCGCTCCCTCCACGCTCCGGAGGCTTTGCGTTGCTTTCGCTGAAGCCTGGAGAGTGAGAGGGGTCGGTGCGCACCAACCCCTCTCGCTCTCCAGGCTTCAGGGATAGCCGCCTGAAGCCTTTGGAGTGCAGCGGGAACTTGCGCTGCGCTCCGAAGGCTTCGGATTCCTTTTGCTGAAGCCAGGAGAGCAAGACTCTCCTGGCTTCAGCAGAGAGGGAGAGCTGCGCAGCGCCCCTTCAGCGAAGTGGGAGGAGAAATGGAAGGGGCTCCGTTTCTCCTGCCGCTTCGCTGAAGGGGCACTGAGCAGAGAGGGGGAGAATTTTTTTTTCTTGTTCTTCCCCTCTAAAACAAGGTGTGTCCTATGGTCGGGTGCGTCCTATAGAGCGAAAAATACGGTGATTGAAAGCCCCCTCTCCCCCCCCAACTCTGAGTGCATAGAAATGGGTGCCTTACCTGTCTCCATGATGCACCCAGCGAAGAGCTAATCCCTTGTACAGCTGCCTGAAGCTGCTCTTCATCCTCCGACGACTCAGGTGACAAGGAAGCAAAGCTCGTCCGCCTTCTTCAGCCCACACCCTACATGCTTCTCCTGGTGCACAAGGAACATTTTGGACTGCAAGAAGATTGTGGGGCCAATCAAGGAAAAGATGAGGTTACAAACATGCCTGAGAGGATGATATCTCTCAGCCTAGCCTATGCCACCCAGGTCTGTTGCCATGATAAAACGGAGGGAGTGAAATTAGGGTCTGGAAGGGGTGGGTCTTTGTTGCTTAAGAGCATGGAGCAGAGATAGAGACCTCCTGCAGGAGCTCAGATGCAAAAAAAGCTGAAGCAAAGCCTACAGCAACCACTAACCCCACCCTGCCTTCAGGTATCCTGGGCCACTCTTCTCTTTCCTTACCAATAGTCAGCTGCAGACTGAGGACAATAGTCCAGAAGAAGAATAGTAAAGTCATAGTGGTGTCACAGGGACAAGTGGGTGAGTGCCCTCAAGCTTCTCCTCCGCCTCCTCCTCCTCCCTCTGGCTGAAAAGGGAAGGGTTTGAAAGGGGAGCTGGAGATGGACCACACAAGAACCTGAGGCTAAGGAAATGGAGGTGGATCTCTGATCAAAGACTTCCGTAGTCACCCTTATATTGCAGGTGGGCTGCTGGTTTCCTGGCGGCGCTGCAGTGAGCGACGTCACAGCCAAGAAATCGGCCCCAGGCTGAGCCATGTGCAGGAAGGCAGCCGAGTGAGTTCTAGAAAGCAACTTGCAATGGAAACTGTTTCCATCTCATTCGGTCCACTCAGTAACCGTTGTTTTTCTTCATGGTTTTGCTTGCAGTGGAAAATGTACATAGGGCCAGTTTCTCAGGAAGTGCCCTGGGTGTTTTTCTTTGATCACTACCCTTTCATCGCACAGCTTCTTTGGTGCTCTTCTTTCATCTTTTCCCTTTTATGGTACGGTTTCTTTATCTTGGTTAAGTCAGAACGTGGCTGTGCTGGTGATGCTTTGAGAATGTGGAGATGCTGATGCTGCTGGACCACACGTAGGTGGACACCAAGGAGGTTCTGACCAGGTCTGGATCAGCTAACTTCCCCCAACCTTGGGCCCACAAGATGGTCTGGACTACCAGTCCCATCAGCCCCTGACAGCACATCCTGCACTGCAGCCCAAAACACCTGGAGAGATCCAGGTTAGAGAAGGCCAGTCTTGAAGAACAATTCCTCAAGAGGCAGCTTGGCAGTGTCCATTAAGAATGTGCAGGAGGGGCAATATAAGTGGAGTTGCATGAAAGGCACCATGTGCACTATACATTTACAGCAGTAGCATACCGTTTTAAACAGTCATGGCTTGCCCCAGAGAATCCTGGGAACTACAGTTGGTTAACGGGGATGAGGGTTGTTAGGCGGGGCCAGCCCAAGAAATTTCGGCGTCTGAGGTGGACCCCAAAATGGCACCAGGGAAGAAAGGGTGAGGGAAGATCTATGCCAGGAACGGTGAGGCGGGTGGAGAGAAAGATGGACATCAGGATCTGATGTCCCTGTGGATCCTGCCGCCTGAGGCAGTCACCTCATCTTGCCTCCTGGGTGGGCTGGCCCTGTCCTTAGGAGACACCTATTTCCCTTACAGAGCTACAACTCCCAAAGTTGTTTAACAAGCAATTTCTCTTCCCAGGGAACTCTGGAAATTGTAGCTCTGTGTGGGGAATAAAAGGTAAAGGGACCCCTGACTATTAGGTCCAGTCGTGACCGACTCTGGGGTTGTGGCGCTCATCTCGCTTTATTGGCCGAGGGAGCCGGCGTATAGCTTCCGGGTCATGTGGCTAGCATGACTTAGCCGTTTCTGGCGAACCAGAGCAGCACACGGAAACACCGTTTACCTTCCCACTGGAGTGGTACCTATTTATCTATTTGCACTTTGAGGTGCTTTTGAACTGTTAGGTTGGCAGTAGCAGGGACCGAGCAATGGGAGCTCACCCCGTCGCGGGGATTTGAACCGCTGATCGGCAAGTCCTAGGCTCTGTGGTTTAACCCACAGCACCACCCGCGTCCCTGTGTGGGGAATAGAGGTCTCCTAATATCTCTCAACACCTGTAACACACTACAGTCCCCATGATTCTTTGGTAAAAGCCATGACTGTTTAAAGCAGTGGTTCCCAACCTTTTTTTGGCCATGCCCCACCTAAGTGTCTCTAAAATCCTGATGCGCGCCCCCCTTGTGACATATAATCCTTATTATTCAAAAAGTGAACTCCTATTCATGTGGAGGAAGCCTAAAAGGCCATTCCCTGTTAATAACTCATTCTTGAATTGCCCCCCTTAAAAATCAAATTGCCCCCCACATTGGGAACCACGGGTTTAAAGTGTCATGATACTGTCCTAAATGTATAATGCAGATGGGGCCAAATACTCATGGAATCCTATTGCTTATGTTCTTTACAAGCGAAACTGCTCCCGGATGTAAATACATATCCTGATTTGGATTTTGCACGGCTATCAAGGGGGCTGGATCATCCTTGAACTAAGGAACTGTCTTGACACAGATCTTGTGGAGGGAAAGGAATCATGCCTTCTCTTCCTGTGGCAACATCTTCAAACAATGCAATTGGAAAAGGTGTTCATCAGAAAACTTTAAATGCAAATCTTTTTGAAGCTCAGATTTTGCCATTATGGGACATCGTGCTTATGGACAAGTTAACCATCTCATGAAAGGAACATCGATCTGCAATAAGAGGACTGACATCTTCCATACAACATTATCCTTTTATCCTGCTTGTTGAACGGATCTGGCAGCGTTACAGATCAGTCCCTGAGCGACAGCTCGCATTTGTTGCATTTCCTGTAATTTGCCAGGAGATAAGACAATCCACAGGGATGCGGGTGGCGCTGTGGGTTAAACCACAGAGCCTGGGACTTGCCGATCAGAAAGTCAGTGGTTCGGATCCCCACGATGGGCTGAGCTCCCATTGCTCGGTCCCTGCTCCTGCCAACCTAGCAGTTTGAAAGCACATCAAAGTGCAAGTAGATAAATAGGTACCACTCCGGTGGGAAGGTAAATGGCATTTCCGTGCGCTGCTCTGGTTCGCCAGAAGCAGCTTAGTCATGCTGGCCACATAACCCAGAAGCTGTACGCCGGCTCCCTCGGCCTATAGAGCGAGATGAGCACTGCAACCCCAGAGTCGGCCACAACTGGACCTAATGGTCAGGGGTCCCTTGACCTTTAAGACAATCCACACAGGTGAGTTGGAAGGACTAATGTAAAGTGGAAGTAAGATCAACAAGCTGGGAACTAAGGTTGAGGTGTCTGTCCTGAGGGAATGGGAGCTCTGGTTCAAGAGACATTTCTGGTCGAGGTGCTTTTGTGCTGAGTGAGCTTCTGTGAAATGATGGCTCCATCCGGAGGTTCTGTTTTACTCAGCATGTGCCTCTATCTTTAGATTTGACGTCTCTGTTGTCTCTGTTTCAGCCCATTCTAAACGCTGACTCTACTGTGGCTTCTTGTTTATAATCTCTAACGCTAACCCTGAACAGCAGCACATTGACGGCTGATGGAAGGTCACACGAGACCCATCTAGGGAACCTTGGGTCAGAGGGTACCGAGAAAAGATCTCACAGAAAGGCATTTTCAGAGAAGAGAGATAAAGCTGTGTGAATGTGACATAGCCTCTGGCCCAGGGAGCTCACAGCCATCAGAAATCTGCAAAGGTTTAACATGTCACAGGTTGTTCTTGCTACACCAGCCTGACCTACCTAACTTATTTGCAGTGCTATTTTTCTAGAAAAAGAGGTGCCAGAACTCACCATGAACACCTCCCTTGTGCTTTTATAGTTGCAGTGGTGCCCACCATTCACCAAACCCTAAATTACTTAAATAGCTAACATCAATGTGGTTATTTACCATTACCTGCAAATTTCTGAAGGTAGGAGGTCTACCAGTAGATACCAGCCAAGATGCCAGATTTATAGGCATATAATGCATGAAACATACCCTCCAACATTTCTCCAATGAAAATAGGGATATTGTTGTTGTTGTTGTTATTCCCTGCCCATCCGACTGGGTTACCCCAGCCACTCTTGGTGGCTTCCAACAAATATAAAAACATAATAAAACATTAAGCATTTTTTAAAAATCTTCCCTATACAGGGCTGCCTTCTGAAGGTTGCATAGCTACTTATCTCCTTGGTTTGGGGGTCGCATAACTCCATACCCTCCAACATTTCTCCGATGAAAATAGGGACATCCTAAGGAAAAGCGGGGACGCGGGTGGCACTGTGGGTTAAACCACAGAGCCGAGGACTTGCCGATCAGAAGGTCGGTGGTTCGAATCCCCGCGACGGGGTGAGCTGTTGCCCGGTCCCTGCTCCTGTCCACCTAGCAGTTTGAAAGCACGTCAAGTGCAAGTAGATAAATAGGTACCACTCCGGCAGGAAGGTAAACGGTGTTTCCGTGCACTGCTCTGCTTCGCCAGAAGCAGCTTAGTCATGCTGGCCACATGACCTGGAAGCTGTACGCCGGCTCCCTCGGCCAGTAAAGCGAGATGAGTGCCGCAACCCCAGAGTCGGTCACGACTGGACCTAATGGTCAGGGGTCCCTTTACCTTTAAGGAAAAGCAGGAAAATCCTGGATCAAATCAGAAACCAGAATGGCTTCTGTAAATCTGGGACTGTCCCTGGAAAATAGAACACTTGGACACTGGCGAAGGAAGAGGAGTGTGGGGGGAGCGCACTGCCCCCAGCAGCGTGATCCCAGCGGGGTGCCATTGCAGCTGCCTCCCCGCCCGCACTGGGGCCCTGCCCCCACAGGCAATGAGCCCTGCCCCCCCGGACACGTGCCAGCCCTGCCCCCCGGTGCCAGAGCATAAAGCTCTGCCACTGCACTTGGAGGGTCTTTATGAAATGGCCATAATTAATTAAAATCATGATCAGAGAAAGCAATAGATAGCTCTGTTCAATAGTCTGTTCAAGTATTATTGTTGTTTTTAACTTGTAACAAAGTACCAGAGAGCATTCTAATTTAGCTTTTAGGATTTGCCAATAAAAATGGCAGAAAGTGAAATTAGAAAATGGAATAGACTAATAAAAAGGTTTTGTGGACCAAGAAATAAGCAAGAATTAAGGAAAAAGTGACGGCAGATGAGAAACATATAGGCGGCTTTCGTGTATCAAACCTGAGGTTATATTATTACAAAGTTGTATATAGTGAGTAATGGAATAATGGAGTAATGGAATTGTGAGCATATTTTTTAATAGACAATTTAAGAATTTAAGAAGGAGCTGTGATAAATATAGAAAAAGAATATCTTGATCAGCTATATCTGCAAGTAAAGAGAGTGAGAATTACCAGTTTTAGAAGGTTTGAAATTTTTAAAAGGCAGGGTAGTTACTCTATTCTTAGTATTCTCTATTTGCCGTGGTTTGAGTATCTGCGGTTATGCAGCTTCCATAAGAAGCTATAAAGAAATGGATTTCAAT